TGTAACGCGTAATTTTGCGTAACAATGTGATTTTACAGAACTTGCATTTCCTAATAGGTATGTCACATAAATACAATATTTTAAATGACGTTTGGTCATGAATATTGTTTTTTTCTCGGCACTCGCAGAAAGGGAGTGAGAGTAAGGGATGGGCTACTATACAATTCCTGACAAGCCATATGAGTTAAACAGCAGAAAAATTATCGTCTCGTCTATATTTTCAACTGTGAGACACAATCATGTGCAGTCGATTCGTGGAACAAACACTATGCGGATGCGGCAAAACTTATATTCAACCGTGACATGGAAAATCCAATGTATTGGGAAAAAAATCAATATGTTGGAAAAAAAATCCAATGAATTGAATTATTCATTTGCAATAGTATATTGTGCAACAAGTGGAAAAAGTGCTTTTCCCCACATATGTTGCACACTATACTTTTTCTACAACTGCACTTATTCAAAGGATCCGAGTAAAAGTTATTGGTATTCATTTTATAATGTGGCACTATGCCACATTGAATATTGTGACCAAAGAGTACCTACACGCCTTTCCTAGTTCCTCGAAGTATTCCAAAAAAGTACACTTTCCGAAAAAGATTCCTGTATTTTTTTAGATTCCATAAATTTTTCGTACCAATATGACAATTCATACTTTTTTCTTGAAATTTCCGGAAACAAATCCAACTTTCGCAGCTTTTTCCATTATCTCTGTCTCTGGCGGTGTATTTATCAAAGTCGTCACATCTCGGTATATACATCGCATATTTTTTATTATGAATTGTTGGAACAATATTTGACGGAAAATGCGATTTCTATATCAAAAGCGCTAATAAGAACTACCCTAAAAGAATTCAAAAAACTTCTTCTGACAGTTGTGACAACTCTTCAAAGCTGAACAGCAGCCAAGTTTTGGTCGATTTTTGCTGATTCTCCATGGGAATGTATGTGGTGTTGGCAAAGTGCCGTGAGAATAGTTATTTGTTTAACTAGGCAGCAAAGTAGTAGATTGACTGCCGAGGCTGAATTCATCAATCCAGCTAAGGCAGTCAATCTACTTTGCTGCCGAGTTGAACATATAATTTTTTCTCCGATTGTTCATAATATATATCTCTTTATTTCTCTTGTAATGTTCAATTTAAATAAAATTTGATACAAATCGCAGTTGTTGGAATGGTTGGTTGCTATGGAAATGTCCATAATAACTATAGTTTGACAATTCATGAAATTTCTGACAGTTGTGCGAAAAAATATCGGATTATTTAAATTATTAAATGATGGACAGCGATAGCGACCTGGAAGTACTTACATCTCCGGAAATGAGGGAGGTGGCAAAATATATAGATTTGAATTTGTTGCCGGAGAAGTCGTCTCGGATGAAATATGAAGGAAATTATAAACGATTTATGGATTATTAATTTTGCTGATACATATCAATCAGCAAAGTAACCACTTTGCTGCCTAGGCAGGAAAAGTAATACTTTGCTGATTGATGTTTGTGTCAGCAAAATTAATATTTGCTGCCAATCGGAGAAAGAAAATTTTTCTCACAGTATGGGCAATACATTGTTTTGAAACTAAGGAAGCTATGAGAAATGCTTTTCATTGCAGTGGTAAAAAAAAATTATTATAATTGTAAGACCCCTAGACGCTTTCGTACTATACACATATATAAAAAACAATAATATTTATATCCATCCACAAAGTAATTTTCATGCAAACATGCAACCATAATACCCATAGCGAGGTAGGTAAGTAGATAGATATACCTGGAAATTAATTAATAATTTTGTATTACTTTCAGTAGATGGTTTTTATTGATTTTTTAATGGGATTGAACGTAATTGAATGAAATATACTTTGTCCATATGGCTTCTTGAATAAACATATTAGTCTTGTTATGATAGATGAGGTGAAAGGTTTAACCAAGTTTACCGTAGTTGACCAAAAGATTAGTGAGTAGTAATTATTTTCGGTCCACATTCAATGACAGAGATTAGGTACCCACGGTGAGTAGGTATATCGATTAACAAAATTAATTTATCTATATCATGCAGCTGAATAGGAAACAGCAAGGACAAAACAGCAATTAGAACTTTTTCGTTCCTATCACATATATAACAGGTATCATTTTGATAACTATCATTTTTTTATTTTTCATAACAATTGGAAACTCTTTTATATGGCATTATTAATTCAAAGTTTACACAAAATATGTATAGCTAGACTCAATATTAGGTACCTATAGGTACTATATATAGGTGAGTTCAGTTTATTAATTGTTTATGTGTTTCAAAAATTATAGTGCTTACATATTGAGGGTACCTATATATATAGGTATTAGTTGCTATCCACTTAGAACTGAGAAATATATCTAAGTATATAATAGGTATGCGTTTATAAAATTGTAACATCGCCACGGTTTATATCAGCTATATGAAATTATGATAAGTCGCAAAAAGAATATACTAACTATACAGGGTGGTCCAGTTTTGTAATATTGTCACGATTGTGACTTATTGCCTTTTCTAGTTGGGATTTGCAGAGGGTTGATCAGTAAAAGGACTTAAGTTTGAACAACAAAAACAAATATGGATTCATTAATGATAAATTACAATTTTGACATTCCTTGAAGGAGCATTAGGTTGGAGATTTAATGAATAATAAAAATGGTATTTTATGTATATAGATGAACAATCCTCTAGTTTTAGAGTTTACTACTCCAGCATAACCTTTGCAAGTTGCAAATTGTACAAAAAGCTCAATATATTTCACCAAAAGAGACTGTTCTTAGACTGTATACCAGGGTTGACTGAATTGACTGAATGAATTCTGATTTCAAGCTGAGCAGTAGTTTATCTATGAGCTGAATGAGCTAAGAGTTATGATTGAGAAATGGTGAAAACCTCGATGTGGGTATCTAAACTACTACTGTACTCATGTCATGTGTGCTAATACTTATATTATCGGAAATCCAACTCCGAGAAGAATTTATGGAGTGACTAATATTACACTAGATATAAAACTTCGTCTAGGACGAAAAGTAGGCTGATGGAAAGAAATACGTAAAATTTGCAGGAAAATAAAGAATAAAATATACCATGCGTTATACATATATGATTTTTCCGTCTCCCTTAAATAAAAAGTCATTTTCAAATAATTTATTGATGAAAGTAACAAAAAAGTAGGTATACAGTATAGCCATAGTTGTTTTTTTAATCTATGGTATAGCTTATAGGCACGTTATATTCACTCTTGCGTCCTACATATTTTCAATTTGTGGTAGAGTAATAATTATATAGTAATGTTAAAAGTGCAGTTTTGAGCAGAGGTTATCTGAATACCACTAGAAGTAAGATCTAGAGCCAATTGATGAAGTGTTCGTGATATTTTCATAAAAAACATCATTATACAAAATTCGTACTCGGCTGATTACAATCAATTTCATTGACTTCAGTGACCCACAATTTGGTTCAAAATGTTTTGCCATTCTGTGAGAGATTGCTGCACATACCCTTCAGCGATATTCGCAAACTTCCAAGCAAGAAGGTCTCCTCCAGAATTTGCAAGTAAACTTGCCGAGGTTCTCCTCAAACTATGCCTGGTATAATTTATGACATCATGCAGATTTAAAAATTCTGCAATTTTTTTTATGAATTTTAGCAATAGATTTCTTTCCAACCATTTGGTAGATACATGTTCCTGCTCTATAATAGCAGATACCAATTTTAGTTTTTGAATAGAATCAGATCATAGTTACAAAATTCGTTCGCCATATTGGATCCGCTATCTTGAATTTTGACCAAACACCATAAAGTTCGACCCCGAAAACCCTCAGATACAAATCTTAAATAGAATCAGATCATAATTGGAAATTTCTTTCGCTATACATTGGATCCGACATCATGAATTCTCCAAGTTTGACGAAACAATCATTATCTCCAACCCCGGAAAACCCCAGATATACCTTCCAATTTTATATAGAATCGGATCATAATCACATTAGTACGAAGGCCTGGAAGGGACACGTAAAATAAAATAAAAATTAACTCTTCAAAATTCTGAGTTTTAACTCGGAATTTTGAAATTCCGACATATCTCGGAATTTTACATCCAAAATTCCGAGTTATAACTCAGAATTTTAAAATTCCGTGTTATAACTCGGAATTTTACATCAAAGTTCCGACTTATTGCTCGGAATTTCAAAATTCCGACTTATATCTCGGAATTTCAAAATTCTGAGTCATAACTCGGAATATTGGATGTGAAATTCCGAGTTATAACTCGGAATTTTGAATGTAAAATTCCGAGATATAAGTCGGAATTTTGAAATTCCGAGTTATAACTCAGAATTTAGGAGAGTTTTATATTTTTTTATTTTATGTGTCCCTTCCAGGGCTTCGTACATTCGCCATATGATCTTCCTCCTCTTTGTAAATACCCTGTACATACCTATTATTAAAATTTTGAATGATTTCCTGTAGCGCCCATGGATGTAACGTGACAGTAATGTCAGGGATGCCAGTAGACAAAACTAAAGTCTCTAAATGCAGCTAAGATCTGTCCGTACCCTGTTAAGATGACTATACTTTAACGTCAATTTCCATCAAGGGACCCTAGTTATGATCAAGGATTATTAACTCGAGTTAATAATCCTTGAGTTATGATGATGTTTCTGCTTATGATTCTTTTCTTGAATCAAGGGAATAGTTAGTAGATAGGTACTGTTTAATTTCTTCTCACAAGTATTGAATAAGTAGCAATTTACGTCTCAACCAGTTCTATGAATAGGTATTATTCATTATTTAACCAATATCATTTTGGCAACTGAGAAAAGCCGTAAAAACTCACGTTGACGTTTTTTCTGTTCTGATCTGAATGACGTTTGCTACAGTCGCAGCACGGCAGCCGAATGACTGGCGAGAGACGTTTGTCATTTGTCAGATAAATGTCAAGATCATGATGATAATTATATTGAGTAATATTGACATAAGTCATGTAAACATCTTGGGTCCTCTGGTCTTGAATTATTATTTTTGATTTTTGATCAACAAATCTACGATTTTCCTATAATATAAACAAATTATTTATAGAAAAGAAAATGTAATATTTACACTTAGTGGTGATCCCATCGAAAATCATGAATACTGTAAGTTGACGAGTTGATATTCTCACTTTAAATAGGCCTAAACGATGACCAAGAAATTCGAATTCGATTGGCATATACCTGTACCGGAGCCTCTTTTAACCGGGTGCATCTTCGATAGATGGACAGAAGAAAAGGATAATGTTGAACTGGAGAAGAAGGCTCTATTTAAAGTTGACGAATATGGATTTTTTATTTACTGGAAGAGTGAAAGCAGGGTATGTAATAAATGCAAAATACCTAGTTTGTTGTAATTGAATATCTACTATTATGATTCAACTCATGATTTATAATATTTCATACCCCTATGGCTTCCTGGGAGTATCAATATTATCATGACCCTTATGTAGACCATTATTGGAATTTCTTTTTTAATGATACTAAATTGTTGTCACCTTCAGTGTACTTTTTCTGTGAGAATTCTAAAGTTTCATGTATTTGATTTCCAGGAAGGGGATGTCATTGAACTTTGTCAAGTCAGTGACATAAGGGCTGGAGGTCTTCCCAAAGACTCAAAACTACTTACTATGTTGATGAATATACATGGACAAGAACTTGAGGACAAATCATTGACAATTTGCAGTGGTACAGATTACATCAACATTAATTATCAGCATATTGTCTGTCCAACTGCTGAAATTGCCAAGGTAGATTTTTTGTTTTCCAGCATGTCACAAATTTGCTCTTGCAAATGCTGAATTCATATATGACTCAACCTAGTCCTCACTTGAGAAATAGAAAAGGTAATTAGCCATTTCAGAGTTTATATTTCAAATTAACCACTTAACACTCATTTTTCTCAAGCTAGTTCTCAAGTTATTACCAGCTTGAGTTCTGCATGAATTTACCACCATGATTTATTTCATCTCTCCATAGTGATCTTGTGAGGTATTTGAGACACAGAATTGGTCTAATTATAAATATAGGTATTTATTATACAAGGGAAAAGTATTAGATTTTTAGCTTCAGGTTTATAGTTTTATAACCTGTCAACAGAGATGGAATGTCAAACTTTTTTCCCATCTCAGAAAAAGTTTTTGTCTGTTGAAAAATTTGAATGAATTGAAATTTTGTAAACTTTTGTACTCAACAAAAATTACACTTGAGGAATGCCATGGGATTATCAAGTACAGGATGTACAGTTTTACAAGTATGGTTGCTGTGTTAGATTTTGAGTTCATATGGAATCTGACAATTTGATTGCATATTGCATTCCTTGAGTTTACTTGTGCTGTGTACCAAATTTCAATCCAGACAATTTCTTCATTTTCACTGAATGACAATAATTATGTATGTGAATTTCTCCACCTAAGTCATCACCTATTAACAGAAACTTCTTTTACTAACTCTGTATCTTTACTATTTCATGAGATCCCTAGCCCTAGGTCCTAGGTTATAAGCACAAACAATTTATGGTTACAGTATAGTATTAATTTTATAATAATTATAATAAATAAATTTTATGCTTGATTGAGTCAGAAACAAGGGAGAATTTTCTCAATATCCATGATCCAGAAAAAAATCAGGTCTTTAATTGAAGCTAAAGTGGTATTTGGTAAGAACATTTTACACCTAAATATTAAAAAAAATATGATAAATAAATAAGATTCCACTAAAAAAAATGCACTTGACTTTATGCAAAATATTTTATGAATATAATATATAAATTATTATTCAAACCATAATTCTTGACCAACTTCATTCCACTAAAGTTGCTGTGAACATATTTTGTAACAAGGAACTGGTAGCGTGGTAGCAGTATGTGGAAATTATAAAATTCACATCCATAATATTGTTAGGTTGAATACATCATAATTAACTAAAGCTACACAAAATAAATAAAAATATGTCCATACTAGCTCAATTTTTCAGTTTTCACAAATTATTTTCACCAAATTTGGTGGAAACATATTTTCTCACAAGAAACTTGAAGTACTCAGTATCAATGAAATTTGCTCATGTAATATTATATTTAAATAAAATATTATTGAACTGCTTTAGATGAACGAAATAATTAAAAATAAGTGGATAGTAGCTCAATCTCCCAGATTTTTACAAATTCATACAGCTAGAGTTGGTTGAAATATATATTCTCACAATGAACTTATAACTTATAGAATGAATTTGACAAAATCTGAAGTTGTTTGTTGAAATTGTTAGGTGTGAAATTTTCCTTTCAATTCTATTTTCAAATAATTTTTTTTAAAACACATATTAGCTTGTGATGTGGTAGGTATATCAAACAAAATTTATATAAATTTGAAATCTATACAGATTTTATGATCTCTTAATGGTGATATACCTAACATTGCAGAGTGCAGACATGGAATTGATATACAAGGTGTAATGTAGGTGGATGCCGACCTTTTAGGAGTTGACAGAAGTGAGATGATTTTTGAGATATTGTTAATTTTGAGATTTTCAAAGCAAAATGCAGTATAATCTAAAAAAAATAGAGCAGCCTCACATGTTCATATCCTCTTGAAAACATCTGTAATTAAGGATTTTTCAAATTGTTATTGAATTAACAACTCAATAAAACTTGAATAGGTTAATGCATTGAAGTTTGTTTACTATGATTGACAATTGTTTCATCATTAATGTTCATAACATTGGCAGAAGAACTTCGGTCAATAGCCATTTGAGTAAGTATCATTATTATTATTATTATTATTATTATTATTATTATTTTGTTTATAACATGTTCCGATAATATTCAACTTATTGAACAAAAAAAAAACAATTGGATTTGAATACAAAAGTCGAAAAACAACGAAAATATCTCCTGTTTAAAATATTTCTTCAATATACTCTGAAATGGTGAATTCCCCAAAAACCATAAGACATTCTACTAAATTAATAAGTGTAACTAAATAGGTTCTGATTAACGTATCTTGCAATTACCTTAAACGTTTGCATTATCCTGCAGGACACACCCTGTATAATATTACATCAAGGTACATTTATTAATTTATTGAACAATGAAGCACATTATTCATGGAGTATAGAAAAAAAAAAACGGTACTTGAACCATATCAAATCATTCACATTCAACAACCAAGTAAGTATATACTATTATGAATTTCATTTCTGCACTTAAAAGACCTACCAACAAGTTCATGGAAATTTTACTGAACTGCAGAATTTCTTTGATTATTTACAGATAACACTTTTTTGTTTTTCATCTTCAGTGAAAATCATTTGGTAATTTATAATTTTTGTCATTTAATTTAATTTTGAAGGACTGGTTAGATGGCCTAAGAAAAATTACTCACAACGTGAAAGCAAACAATTTTTGTCCCATGACATGTTTGAAGAAACAGTAAGTTTATGGAATTTTAGTCTTGCATGATTTCAGTTCCCTATTATTAACTGATGGGCATGAGACCAAATTTGCTTTTTCGTACAATCTGAAAAATACACAAAGAAGAAGAGTTTATAGCTTTTTGATGGTTACTACTTATTACTACTATTGATATTTTTCAAAACCAGCATTCATTTTATTAATACACTACTTTCGAAAATATTGTCATTGATATTATTATCATAGGGTATTTTAAAGTTTCTAGTGGATAATTCTACTTCATCTTGATTATTTTTAATTAAAATATGTGTGTGATGATTTTTTGTCAAGGAAAAATTATAATTCTTATGGAATGACACATACTTTAGCACATATTCATTTCAAATCATTCAGTGCAAAATGATGATTAATTCTTGTATGCCATAATCTCATTTTGAGATGAATGACTAACAGGTAGGTAGTAAGTAGTAATCATTTCAAATTGCTTGCATTGGGTTACATTGACAATTTTGTTTTCTTCAAACGTCATGAAACAATGGGGGTATTCTTGATTATCATATTCCTCATTGTATATCAATGAATATTACTTTTCATATGTTTATCATCAAATCGCCAGCCAATATTGCATCACCGACAAAACTTCTATCTAGACCACTATATGTCGTATCCCAGCAACCCGAAAATCTCACCGAAAAAACGCATCAAATCAATGCGCAGACTGAAAAACAATAGGTAGACAATGTGATTCATTCACAAATCATTGAAAAGTATATATGCCAACAATCATGAACGCCAAACACGGACAAATTAATGAAATGGCGAATGGTAAGAATAACTACGGAATCATTGCCAGAGAACTGATATTTTCAATATATCTAATAAATCTGGATTTCTATAAAGGTTTGTATGTGTATCTCGATGTGTATTGATACATTTTTTGCTCTCATGTGTTGCAACATACGTCATTTTGTAACGTCTCAGTAAGGTTATTTGTTATTTTCAATATTCCAAACACGCTTTACATCAAGAAAAAGCAACCCCTCAAACAATATCGTCACTGGAACAAATTTTCACATACCTGTGAAATGTCAGGTTAGGCTATTTCTTTACGGATTTGATACTGCCGAACCATATTTATTCTCGAAATTTCCTGATTCAGATTCATAATACTAAACAGTTACTGAATCATCAAAAGATTATTAAATTACCATGAAACTTGAGAAATAACCTAACCCACTAAACATATTTCAGTATCAGAAACGTTTCAGAAATGTCTTACGGATATTTAAAATCCAGTTAAGTCTCTTTGAAGTTTCGGAAACGTCCCAGAGAATGTAAATGTCCTACCGCAGTGAAGTTTCATGAAACGTTTCAACAACATTGTCCCAGACACGTTTCAAGACAACCGTTCTAGTCACGTTCCAACACAACCGCCCTGGACACGTCTCAACAAAACTGTCTTGGATGCGTTTCAACAAAACTGTCCTGGACACGTTTCATAATGGTTTCAAATTTCGTATAGTTTTATCAACTCTTCAAAGAGAGTGGATATGCTGTGGAAATGAAGATACATAGACAGTAGAAACAGACAAATCTATTAGGTACTACTTATTCTTATTTTACAAACAGTGGGCAATTACCCCGCACACAAATGTGAGAAATAAAAAACCCAAATAGTCAAATCAACTCCACACTAGCCCAAAATGTCCTAATAAACACTTCCAATTGATATCTTTAAAACACATTATACTGTCCCCAGAACGGCGAAAGAATGTACAGCCAGCCAATATAATTCGATTGCCATGAGGATATGAATCCCACCTTTTATGTAAACAGCTTCTCATGATGGCAATCCGTGCCGTTCATCAAAATCATTCACATTCCTTTCGGATGAGGAATCTTTCTTGATAAAATACTTTGTGAATCCTGATAAACCTTTTTGGTTCCTCGAAACTGAGCAACTGGATACGATGGATCACAAATTAACTATCAGGTTTGACTACCACTGCCAAACACATAAATTAAAAAATCAGAAACAGTGACTAGGTATTTAGCGAACTCGAAATAGGACTGTAGCATTAGTTAGCGATGGAGTGTTGTTCAGCTCACGCTCATCTCAAGCTGGCTAAGCTACCAGTAACTCTCGTTAGTCTCGTTTTAGTCGTTTCCATCCGACCTTGTACTGTCTTGTACCGATAAAAATCCATTCATTCCCTTCCCGCACTTCACACTTGCGTCACGCCCACCCATCACATAATTTTCCTTACTTTCCTTAGCAACAAGAAATTCGACATACGAAATACATATCACACACTTTCTTCTACATTTGGAGGCAGGAATGGCGGAATATCAAAGTACAGGCATGAACGATATTAAAAATCGAATAAGCGTTGAACAGTCAACTCCTATAGTGATAGGTAGGTATTTATTATGATGTAGAATAAAGATGTAGGCAACACAACAAAAATCGTAGAAGTCATAAAACATCAGTGGAAGCTGCATTGGAACATACATTCTTACATGGGTGCATTTTGCTAGAAACGTTTTATTTTGGATTCGTTAAAACGTTCTTGCAACTTGTTACGTTTCAAGTAACGTTTCAAACAGCCCACAATAGGATAGAATTGAAATGTTTCTGGAAGGTTTCATGTTTAGTGGAAATGTCCCTAACGGACCGTTCGAGAATAAGAATTTGGCGATTGGCGAGTAGTCAGTACCGAGAAAATCACCATTTAGCAGAATTCCTGATTTAAATATTGGACGTTTGAAGAAAACATGTTTTATTTGGGGTAAAATACTTTTTGTGGCTTGTTTGTGATTGTGGGACTCGCTTGTTCTTCTGTCAATTAAACAAGCACAAAACAAAATTTTACATTCTACCTCCATGTGAATCGAAATACAATTAATATATCAGCATGTTTGTTTCCTGCATGGCTTACTTCATATCAGGCATGGCAACAAGGTTTGAGGAGTATTACTCATAACAATAAAATTGTGAACGTTTGCCCCAGAACAGTTTTAATGAAACAGTGAGTGTGTTTATTTTGTAATTTTTTTTTTCGTTCGTGTTCGATGTGATATTGCTCTCTGATATTCTCGAGTAAAATTTCTAATCATTTTATAGTATAGTATAGTATGAAGTTTTCAAATAAAAAACAATATTAGGTAATTCATATTATTACATTTTTGCTCACATTCCATATAAAATGTGATATCTCAATTATTAAACCAATAACAATATGTAATTCTTAGAAAATTGTTCGGTTTTGACTAATAAGACTAGCTCCTTCACTGAAAGAAGGATAATGATGAGTCATATTCATATCATCTGACCAATAAATTATTCAACGTTGCTCGTATTCTAAAAGTTTAATTGATAGAACGTGCCATCAAATTGAAAAAAAAAATCAGCAATCAAGACAAGCATCTATAACAACAACACAATGTCTGAAAAGATGAATCGTGTTGGTGATGAAATCAAGAAGTATAAAACTGTTAAATTCACTATCAATCAATGAGAATCACCTTTTAACTCAAATTTCTTGACAAAATGATACTGTAAGTTGTCAATTGACAAAAGCAAAAACAATTTTCAATGGAAAGTCACAGATACCATAAAGCAGTTTAGATCTACAAAAGTTCGTCAGCGGTACATGATTTTTGACAAATTCGCATACTCATACCTGAGACTATATAACTGTCCAAGTGATCCTTATCGCTGAGATGGAAGAAACGCCACCTCAAAAAGAATAAGGTGACTAGTGAGTATGCAGTACCACATTTGCGATGATACATACAATGCAGGGATTCGCGTGCCACCTCAAGAAGTAATAAGTATAGTACTACAATTCATTGGTGGATTCCACAAAACGTTGATGAGTTTATTCGTCAGAGAAACCACACATGTTTTGCTCTATTATATCTCATCAGAGGCACTAGGTCTCTGACAAATTTGATTTGCCAATTTTTAGTTTAAGTGTTATAGCAACTGCTGAGAGGTCAAACTAACTATTCATTTTCATCTTATTCGTCCTCAGTCCAATAAAATGGTATTTGCACGTGGAAAAAAATCAAGTAGTCGGTTTCCCTGTCGTTTCATACGTGTTTGGGAGTGCTGAATCTGAATCTGAAGTTTGCAAACGAAATTTCTTGGAGCGTTCCGAGATATTCGCATTTTTGCATTGTTTGCCCGTAAGTCGGAAAATATACATTTTAGCGAAATGATCACCCTATAAAAAGTAAATGAAGTAAATGAAATTTTCTATATATAATTGTTGTTGCTCATGGATGTAGGACTACGGGTGAGGAGCTAGAGCATGTTGAAAAATTGACCAAATTTGCGTATTCTGAAAAAATAGTGTTCTTTGTTCTTTGCCGGTTCTCGTTGATAATTCATAATCTACGCATTTCTAGAAGAAACAAACTACACTGTCCGATGTGGAGGAGTCCTGGCCATGTGGGTTAATGCTTTTGTCACCGCGTAACTCGATTCTTGAATTGTCACATTACTTATTTAAATCAACTAGGTAGAATAATGTTTGTGTGTGTTATTCGTTAGCGGAGAACCCCCCCCCCCCTTCCCCCCGCCAAACGACGGTGTAGCGACGATTGGATTGTAGATTGTAAGGATTACCCTCATCTAATTGTCTGCTATCACCCTTGACTCCTGATCGGATTTTTTTGAAGGTTTAATTTCCCACCGCAGCAGGCGTCAGGTAGACCTGTTTAGAGCCCATTTTTTTAGTGATACCTCAGAGGGCAGTGCATTTGCTCTGGTTTGCTGTGACTCAGTAATTCTTGATGACCTTTTTTTGTTCTCATTGACCTGGAATTGCTCACCGGGGTTTTTCGCTCTCTTTTCATTTCTCGAGCTCTGCGATTAGATTATATTTGCTTGTTCTACAGAAAGTCTCAGGACCAAAGAAAATAGACTATGCACTTTTTTCTGCTAGGCGAGTGATTGATTGATTTCAATATACTTATTCATCATAAAATGGATAATTTGATAGTTATTATCCGTTTCTTCTCAAAATCTATGAAGAATACCTATATTAATCATAATTATTTCATCGCAGTTTTACTAACTATAATCCAGCGTTCAGAAAATCAATTTGTTATGTCTCCCTATAAGTGAAAGGTGAATTAGACGAATAAAACAAGTAGAAATAATGAACTTGACTGTGGCATACGTTCACTTCTTCGCATATTTACGAACTACACATGAGCTCTATAGGTAGTTCGATGCTCTTCGTGTATAATTATCAACGAAACTCCTCTCTTACTGGTCCTTTATCCACAAACAACAACAATGTATGTAATGTACTAGTCGTCCAATGGCTGACTCACCTAGAAAAGGTCTACCTGACGCCTTGCTGATGTGGAAAACTCAACCGTCAAGAAAATCCTAGGTTTCACCAGAAGTCTGGGATTATAGATGATGATGACAATTCAGCACCCTCAAAAACATAAAACCGCAGAGAAACCGATTACTTGAATTTTTTTCACGTGAGGATCTTTATCGTTACCGTTTTACTGAGCTACCTGTAATTCGTAGCAACCAATCATCATGATCAACCTCATCTGGGAGATAACTTATCCCTGATTTGTGAGCAAGAGAAGCAGGAAAAGGATTCACTCTTGAAACTTTGATCACATCTTGCGAATCTCTCTCAATATTGAAACTCAAGGAAAACGCAGACATACCGAATTAAGGTGTAATTAGTGTACAAACAATCTGTAAGAGTAAAATTGACAGCCCAGTATAATATTTTTTGCAGTACTGACATTTACAGTTAGTCCATTGTCGATCTAAATGAAAACCTAGGAGGCGACTTAGTGCGAGGAGGTAATCTGCCTACTAACTACCTAACTAGGTTGTAGTAGAACGACAATGGTTAGTCGAATACAATAATAATAAAAGTTGTTACACCAAAATTAGTAACATTTCTTATAATAACTGTATGTGTTTGATGCCTTGGTTGTTGCTTCATTACATTTTTTCTATAGGACAAATAATACACAATGTATTTTTTTCGCAATGTTCAACTGCTTGAGAATATCAGAGGTATTAGATCACATTGAGCACACTATATTTTCAAAAATGGTTAATTTCTCTAGTTGGATGAGACTTGGGTTTTTGGTGGATGTTAGAGGTAAAATACCAGTAAAAGTGGTCGCAAGGACTTTTGCGTCAGGAAGAACAGAAAAATTGGTGTATCAGATTTTGGCAGAATTGGGCCTACCTTCTGAAAAAAATGACACGATTGAACCGGAGGCATTCACTTTCGATAAGTTCTATTCACTATACCACAAAATTTGCCCAAGGAATGATATTGAAGAACTTTATAGGATAATGTAAGTAACACACAAAATCGTTTATACCTTTCATAACGTAAAAAGCATGGTTGTAAGTTGATGATCATTACCATAAACTAAAGTAGAAGTTTTGAAGTATCTATTGGAGATGTATAGAACCTCTTGGTACAAATAATATTGTAACTATGTATTTTAGTGCCCAAGGAAATGCCGAATATATGACTCTCGAACAGCTCATCAATTTCTTGAATGAGAAACAGAGAGATCCTAGACTGAATGAAATTTTGTACCCACTGTACGACGAGAAACGTGCCAAAGAAATTATTGATACCTATGAACAAGATGAAGCATCTAGATCAGCAAGCAGACTTACCAAAGATGGGTTAATCAGGTACTATTTTTTCCTTAAGTTGCGTCACCATGATTCATTATGAATTATTTCTGTAGATGACATATTTCATGTTTCCAATACTCGTGCATTCTTATATATACTAGTGTATTTGTTTGTGTAACTTTAGTTGACCACGCTCTCTTTGTGCCTTGTAGTATTTTCAAGATTCAATTTGAATTTGAACTTGTTTCAACTTTCAACGGAATATTGAAATATATTTCCATACATTTTCTGTTAACATCACAACATAGTGCATAGTGCACCATCATATCAAGGAGATCGAAGACTATCGAAAAATTAAATAAAACATCTAGGTCCGTATACAAAAAAATGAAGTTGATGATGGCCGCTCGAAGAAAAAACTTCGGATTTCCAATTTGACAATTCCATTTTGTAGTGGAGGAAAAGTGGAAATTATGAAGTGACATTCATTTTGAAATATCTCTTTAAATGAACTAAGTAATAAATGAAAACAATTTTCAATATTCTCCTTTCTCTCCGGATATCTCCGGAAATAATTGAAATTTTTCCAATTTCAAGGCAACTTTGCCCTAATTTAACCTACTCTGTATCTCTTAAGGTCACCGAGATTCCCATGCTTAGCGTCGAATTTGTAACACCATGTATATGGCTAACTCTGTATTTTTTCTGTAGATATTTGATGTCTGATGAGAATGCTCCAGTATTCCTTGATCGTCTGGACATCTACATGGAGATGGAACATCCACTGTGCGCCTATTACATAAATTCTAGTCATAATACATATTTATCAGGGCGACAGTTTGGTGGACGGTCATCTGTCGAAATGTACCGACAAGTATTATTAGCTGGATGTAGATGTGTTGAATTGGATTGTTGGGATGGTGAGTTTTTTTGTTTGCGATACTAGAACTAGTGTAGTTTGGATAGGTACTATTTCTGCTCAATTTTATCGTTTCCAACCATACCGGGTGTCAACGAATCTATTAGACAAGTCATAACTTCTAGACCATTACTTGTACCAAAATGAGATTTGATATAGGTGAATGGTATATGAAGAGGAGTTTTTTCACATATTTTTCACTTTCCGGTCACTTCCGGTTTCACCGGAAATGGCTCCGGTTCCAAATTTTTAAATGGAACACCCTGTATATGTATATATAACATTTTTGGATTTCTGAGACAATTCTAGATCAGAATGTGACATTTTCGAAAGTTTTCATGCCTACTTGATTTTTTCGGAGTCTCTTTTGAAATTACATCTAGGTGGCCATGATTGGAAGTAAACTAATCTAAGGACCTCAGGTGATATCAGAAAATAACAATCGCGAAGTTTTGGTGACAAGTATGATAGATATGAATAAGACATGTTGGCTAAATTACATTTATGTGTCTAACAATTATTTTTCAAATGGCGACCATTTTTTGACAAGCACTTTCCGAAAAAAGGATATTTTGACGAATCTAACGATACTAATTTATTTGAGATTGAATCAACAAATTTAACAAAATTAACAAGAAGACTTGATCGAAATAACTGTAAAATATTATGCATCATGCCTATCCTCGGCACACTTGACAAAAGTAAATAAATTATTATGAAGTATTTTCGTCAGTAATATTTAATTTATGTTCTTATTTGTAATTCAATCGCAAATAAATTAGTATCGTTAGATTCGTCAAAATATCCTTTTTTCGGAAGGTGCTTGTCAAAAAATGGTCGCCATTTGAAAAATAATAGTTAGACACGAAAATTAAATTTTGCCAACTTGTCTTATTCAGATCTATCATACTTGTCACTAAAACTTCGCGATTGTAATTTTCGGATATCACCTGAGGTCCTTAGATTAGTTTACTTCCGATCATGGCCACCTAGATGTAATTTCAAAAGTGACTCCGAAAAAATTGAGCATGCATAAAAACTTTCGAAAATGTCACATCCTGATCTAGAATTGTCTCAGAAATCCAAAAATTTAGAACCAGAACCATTTCCGGTGAAACCGGAAGTGACCGGAAAGTGAAAAATATGTGGAAACTCTCCTCTTCACATACCATTTACCAATACCAAATCTTATTTTGATACACCTAATGGTCTAGAAGTTATGACTTATATTAAAGTTGTACTATTTCATTGAATGATACACTACAGGGTTCATCTTCATGTGTTAACGTTATCTATATAGAGAAGTGGACGAAAAACGGCCAGGGCTGTAACTTCTGAATCATTCTAGATCGGATTTTGAAAAAAGGTGGGTAGCAAGTATACCAGATCGCTCATTAATTGACGAAACAATTTTAGTTCTATCACTTCCAGTTTCACCGGAAACGACCCCAACTTTTGATTTTTAAAAGGGACCCCTATATTTAATTCTATAATCGATTAGGGATTAACATCACGAATTCAACGATACCGGGTTTGATAGGGTTATTTTAAACGATCACAAAGCTATTTGCGTTCGAAGTTTCCATATGCTCAATGGGTGTGAATTCGCAATATCGAAACTTCTTTCTCTATCACACTCATTGAGCATTCGAACGGGAATATCTTCGTAATCGTTTGAAATAATTCTATCTTATCTGTGATATAATTATTATACATTTCCTAATAATTAGCATTATTTCAATTCATTTATTTAAGATGTTTGTCAAGTTGTAGGTACTATTTTTTGTATTATTATTAGTGTAACATTATTTTACCATTTTACTATTTTATATTGTCCTTAGGTAAGGTACTGTTGACCCCTACATGCTTTGTAATCATGCTGTATTTCGTGAACAATAAAGTATAATTCACTCTCTCTCTTTCTCCCTTTATCGAACCAATTTGTGATGAAAATCCCTAACCGCTAATGAAATGAAATACACGATGTCCCATTTAAAAATCAAAAGGGGGGTCATTTCCGGAAAAACCGGAAGTGAATGAACAAAAATCAATTTGTCAATTAATGAGCAATTTGGTATACTTGCTACCCACCAATTTACAAAATCCGATCTTGAATGATTCTGAAGATACAGCACTGACCGTTTTTTGTGCACTTCTTTGTATATGGAGAACTGAAAGTAGCACGATTCTGAAAATTCGTAGGGAAAAGAGTTAAAATCAAATTGAAATATTCTCGCTATTGTGAAGCTTGATGTCATCTTTGTTAATTCCAATGGCACACCTTGTATTTTATAACATTTTTGAATTCTGCTCATGATCCTGATTCAAATTCAGGTATCATACCCTATACCTGAAATGAACCGTTTTGAGCTATTCGAGTTTTTCTAGAAAAAGTGACAAATGCAGCCTATCGAACATGAAGTGATTAAATCGTGAACATCAAAGTTGAACGGATCACTCACCATAATCACAACTAAATAGTTTAGAGGGCTCACACGAAACATTGAAAGTACCGATTTCCTCGAATGGAAACCCCATTCTTTAAAAATGAGACTAGTGATTCACTTCCCTATTATACCCAAAACCCATTATTTCGGATATATTCCACTTGAATGACAGCTATCAAGATAACTTTTTCTCTCATATAACCGTGTAAGCTTGACGCCACAATTGACTTGTGTGAAATTTGTTTTCAAAAAGACACTTTTGAACAGTGAGGGGTCTATGTTGGTTGTTTCCATCGTGGTTATGAATTCCTAGAAATTCTTAACTTTTCTTCTGAATAATGTGCTGTCGGTGATCAGTCGATAGAGATTCTGACGTTTTTGAAAATGAAGAGTAACATCAATGACATTTTATGGAAAACGTCAGCTTTGTGCTGAGATTTGACAGCTTAATAGATTCTAAAAAAAACATTTGTATTAGATAGGGGAAAAATCATTTCAGAACCGTCCAAAAAACAAAGTTAACATAATCTCGTCGTCAATATTCGTATTTGCGAAACAAATACAGATTTCATAAATGCCAAGCTTAGTTGATTCAAACGTTTGGAAGCCTCTGCAGTAGGTGAGGTCTTGAGCAGCTGTTGCCCCTGAAACTCTCCCATTCAATCCGTTTTTTGTGGACAGGTGGTTAAAAAACCTAAGTGGCAAGGGAATTTAATAACTGACGTATTTGTCATCTTAACAGGGTACGGACAGATCCTCGTCTCCTCTCTCTCTAACGTGTTTGTGAAACAGTTATATAATTCCGTCCCTATTCAATTCTGGGGATAAACATTAGATTTCTGACATTTGCTGTTTTTTAGGTTATATTGAAGACATTGGCTTATCATACGTAATTTCCACATAGAATTCCTGATTCAACTCTACATTTTATATCCAAATGATGATCAATAATTTTTGAGATTTTGATTTTTCAACTCTATCATAATCTTTGTGAGACAGTGAGCATACATTTTTCTGAAAGTTTATTATGTTTCACCAAATGGAACGGTTCTTAGGCTGTACCTATAAAAAATGAATTTTGATTACAGACTTACCCTTATAGTTGAGAAATGGTGAAAACGTTGATGTAGGTATTTAAACAAATGTGCTCAATTGTGAAGTGTGCTGTATATTCATAAAATTCATGTTGGGTATTATTTTGGCTGAATGTAGGTATACCTAATTTTTCAAATGGTAGGGCATATGCTTCTTCTTTTAATCCCCTCCGTTTTAAACAAACCTGTTTCTAATAAAATCCATTCAAAAACTTGTGGAGTGGATAATTAGGCACAATGATAATGTATGATATGTGATTTCGTTTATTTTGCTGATGTATTTACCGATTTTCCCAATTCGGTCTCTCCACTTTCCATGATTTAAGTACATTTGCATTTGTTGGAAAACTGACAAACTCAAATTTGCCATCCAACTGATTGATACAGCCTAACGCAGCACATTTTACCATCCTTTCAATGTGACGTGACAGCAAGTTCATGCCAGGGACTCCAATACACAAAACCGAAGTCACTAGATTATTAAAAGAGAAAGGAGCTATGATCTGTCCGTACCCTGTTAAGATGACAAATACGTCAATTTACATCAAGGGACCCTATGAGTAACTAGTGCAGGTATTACCTTGTGATTGATATAATGATCATTCAACAATATTTTGGATGCAGGTAGGGGAGAAGATGAGGAACCGATAATAACTCATGGCAGAGCGATGTGTACCGATATATTGTTCAAAGACGTCATATATGCAATCAGAGACACTGCATTTGTCACCTCTGAATATCCAGTTATTCTGTCTTTTGAGAACCATTGCTGTAAATCCCAGCAACATAAAATGGCTAAATATTGTGATGAAATATTGGGTAAGTTGGTGTATGCTTATAAATTATACTGAAATGATACGACCATGAGGGTCGATTCAAAATAACTCGCTTAGTTATGGTAGGCTACAACTATAGTGATAGTAAAGGCCGGTGAAGTAAAAGCCATTGTTGATGCGCACCTACTATTCATTCACTGCATATCAATTTTCTAGCTAAGTAGCTCTGAGATGAGAATGTTGGTAGCCGTGATTATCAGAAGACCTGATCTGATTGGACCAAGAACCTCTCAGAGATACCCTCTAATTCGGATTGTTATGTTGTTTCAATAATTATATTGCAAAAAAAGACACTAAATGGATGTGAATAATAAAAATAAGAAGAACAATAGACTTTACTCATACAGAAAGCGACTGCAGTAACGATTAAGAGTAGGTGAACGATTTCAATAACTATAACTAATAATAACCAAAAGATTTTTAAATGCTTTTAATCTTCTCCTGAATATGCTAACATATTTAGCGAATCACCTGTCGAGGCGTATAAAAAATCGGTTTGATCAGAGGTTCCAGTCTTCGATATAAGTTGAAAATTGTTCATTATACAGAATCAAAATAATTTTGATATATCATTAGTATCGAATTCAACAATTTCCTTTTATAATCTATGTTCACTATGTAGATATCCATCTGTTGGAGCTCCGATTTCTCCATTTATTTGTTCCAGTATCATCAACACTCTTGTTAGAAACTTTCTTAAGAAATCTTCATTATCAAAATCATTATAAGGTTCATTTTTTCTCTCACAGTATATGGCCTTCTCTCATAAACAATAACCTCTACATCTTCTTTTCATATGAAAATGTATACTATTGAAATACGTTGTCAGGAATTAACTTTGAGTTGAACTTTAAACTCATCATTATACTTGAGCTGCCAGTTACAGTAAACTGCAGAATGAACATGTCAACTAGAGGTAGGGCCTCAGCTCATAGTCAATTTGACTTGATTAGTGACTGATACACTGTTTTTAGGATCATATTTCTAGAGATTCGAGATCCATGTGCAACTTTGAAAGTTATCTTCTTGAAAGTGAAAAAGTGATCGAACAATTTTCCTTAACATCCTTATGGTCTACGACTACAATGCGAGATATTTTGAATTTTATACAATGTTTCTTTTCCCGAATTATTCGATATTGACCAGTATTTTTACAAAATTTAATACATTGAGTAGACATTACCTTTTAATTGTAGGTGACTTGCTCTTGAGAGAATTTATTGACGACTACCCTTTAGAACCTGGTGTCCCCTTGCCTCCTCCGTGTGCTTTGAAGAGAAAAATACTCATAAAAAATAAAAGGTAATTTTATTAATATTGCAAACAGATTGTGCCATTCATCAATTCATTATTTTAGATTAAAACCGGAAGTGGAAAAACATGAGTTGGAACTCTTCAGACAAGGCCAATTTGTCATTGAGGACGAAGAGAAGGAAGATGCAAATGCTAGTGCTGATAGATTGATACCACCTGATATATCAATTGAGGTAGGTTCATGATATGAAGAGACTAGCAACGGGACTGGTATTGATTTTTTGAAGTGTATTGTTTACAATTGTTGAGAAAATTTTACTTAGAATCGGAACAGAGGAATTTCATTTTCAAAAATCTATTTTAGTGGATTTTGTTGTTTTTGCTTCTCCGTCAATCACGAATTGCAAGGTTTGATTGAGTTTGGAAAGCACACTGAAACGTAACCGAGTCAAACAAAGACAATTTAATCCATATTAAACATTCTATTCTCTTTCAACTTTGGAATACATTGTCAATGGAAGTATTCCCAAGAACTTAAAACCTCCAAAAGTGATGAGTCCAACACCGATCCCCTCTCCGTATTTTCCTTCGAACATCATAGGAATTTCCTTTCGTGCGCTCCAAGAGATGAAAAAACTATTGGGAAAATTGCTAGTAGGAACTGGTCTAGAGGCTGGCACATTGCTATGCAGTCAACTGATCTCTAATGTGTTTTGTTGTCACACTGGGCATACTTATAATATACTGTAGGGAACAGGTACCTATCTGAAGAATTCTTTGAATGGGTATAGTTGTTCGCATGACATTTTTCTCTGAATATACTGGATGATTGAAAATTCGTTGGAAATATTTCAAGGACATATTATTGGGATCAAACAAGACTTGTTCTTCATAGAAACATGTGTCCTGAAATGCACCCCCTCCGAGGTCCAGTCACTGTAAGTTAAGTAAAAAACAGATGATAGTTTAAAAAACTAAAGAAACACCCTCTTATTGATAACCAAACTAAAAAGCGGTACAAAATAAAGTATCAAAAATTACATAACATAGAAACTATTGACATCTCCATAATCAGTACATTCCCTGTTGAGTATTTATCAACACACCTATTATCTCATTTTCTACCTCTTTTTAGTTTGGCTAACCATAAAATAGTGTTTCTCTAGTTTTTTAAACAACTATTCATTTTCTATTTTTTAGTTCGGCTAACTACAAAAGCGTGTTCTTTAATGTTCTTATATTCTCGTTGGTATATCCAATTTTGATGAAACAATCATAATCAACCCCGAAAACCCCCAGATACTAATTTTTAATACAATCGGATCATGGTTACAAAATCCGTTTGCCAAATTGTATCCGCCATATTGAATTTCCCAATTTTGACAAGAGTATCATAATCTCCGACCCCGAAAACCCCCATATATCAATATTGAATAGAATCAGATCATATAATTACAAAACTCGTCCACCATATTGGATCCGCCATCTTGAATTCACCAATTTTGACGAAATTTTGATGAAAAAATCATAATGTCCGACCTCAAAAACTACCAGGTACCAATTTTGAATAGGATCGGATCATAATAACAAAACTCGTCCGCCATTTTGAGCTGCCATTTTGTTTTTTGTCTAACAAACATTTCATGATGCATTGCCAACAGAATTATGTACACCTGCCAAATTTCAAATCAATCGGTCCGTTTAAAGTGGGTCAAAATCGAGTCCAAAGGAGTCGGTTACATACATTCAGGCGAAGCACATAATAAGGTGTTAAAAAAGATGATCTAAAATTGTACTCTGTCTCTTTTTGCTGTGTTTTTATTCATTCTGGTGTCTCATCAATGAGCAAACGTTCAACTTTCAGAGTATTTTTATAAAAAAAGTGTTTTGAAACTTTTGTTCAAGCAAAAGTTGTTACCGGTCATGAGTATATGTGCATAGTTGACGTTTTTTTAAAACAATGATTTTCAGAATCCAGCCATAGAGCCAGGAGTTGGCGAAGGTGAAATACCTTTACCTGCCACCGGTCACACTGGCTCCACAACTAACGTCCATCCTTGGCTCAGCTCAATGGTAAACTACGCTCAACCCGTCAAGTTCCAAGGATTCGATGTTGCCGAACGTAAGTCACGTTAGGAAGTTACGCTTGATTAACGCAAAAATTCGATTCTCAATTTTAGAGAAAAATATCCATCATAATATGTCGAGCTTCGCGGAACCAGCAGGTCTGAACTACCTTAAATCGCAAGCTATCGAGTTTGTGAATTACAACAAACGGCAGATGTCACGTATTTACCCCAGCGGGGCTCGAGCCAACTCTTCAAACTACATGCCACAGGTACAGTTTTGTAGGCATTTTACGTTTAGTACCAACATTTTGAAATGCACAAGAGCTGTTTGTATATTCACAGCACAAAGTGATATTGTCGCTTGACATAGGCGGTAAACTTTGGAGAGCGGCAATAACACTTTGTGCTCGATAGATTTTTTTTCTGAAGATGCAACTCTTCACAAAAAAATAACAAATGAGTTATTTTTTTTCATAGAGGACGTGGAAATAGATTCTGAATTGAGAAAACTCAATCATGAATCTGAAATTAGATGTCTATAAAAATAACAAGTTTTCATCGTTCAAGTTTGAACCCCTTGATTGGGTATGAGAGTCTTGAAAAGGAATATTCTCAGATATATTATAAACATGAAGAAATGAATATTTATATAAGGATACATTGAGATTCGCATTGTCTATATGATGGAAAACAGAAAAGCCAGGAAAGTAGTTGTTTTCTGTTGAATATACCGAGAAAGAATTAATATTTCCATCACATAGAGAATGCGAATTCTCAATGTATTTATATATACAGGGTGGGCCACCAGTAACGCCTCGGTCTCTAGAAGGCTAACCACTTATCTTCTTGGAATTCTTCCTCTCTAGGAAGTTGCATGTCAACATAGGCTACTATTTGAAATTATTTTGAAATATACAGGATGTCCCCAAAAATCACAAAACACTGAAGTTGAACTTTTTTCAATCGGAACACCCTATATATTATTTCATTTTGAGATTCTCCCTGGTGAGCTGATTTCAACAATCCATCATACTTGGGGTCTAGCAGTTATAATTACTGAGATATAGGGTGTGAGAAATCGAGATTTTCCAAGTTCAAGAATTTTTTGTGTCCAAACCATTCATAATTGGTCAAAACGGCTCACATGTCCCTATCTCAACTATCTCGTCGTTGAAATCAGCCATCAGGGAGAATCTCAAAATGAAATAATATATAGGGTGTTCGATAGAAAAAAGTTTAACTTCAGTGTTTTATGGTTTTTGGGGACACCCTGTATGTTTCGAAATAATTTTAAATGGTAGCCTATGTTGACATGCAACTTCCTAGAGAGGAAGAATTCCAAGAAGATAAGTGGTTAGCCTTCTAGAGACCGAGGCGTTACTGGTGGCCCACTCTGTATATATATATATAAATACCCAGTTCTTGATGTTCATAATATATCTGAGAATACTCTTTTTTTTTTAATTGACTCGGCCGTTACTTGATGGAAATCCATGGCGAATGTAAAAACTTCACAAACGGTAAGATTTCCACAAGCGAGAATTCTTATAGTTTGTGAAGTTTTTACATACTCCTTTTCAATAGTAATAAAATTACTGGCACATCTGGGATTAAAAAAAAAAGATTACTATGCTGACCGAACCAATTTTCCAGATATTCTACGTTATATAAGAGCATGCACACGAATTTTTTATCATTTTTTCAAGTGATTAATGGATAACAGTATATTCTTTTACAAGTGACATTTTTTGAAGCGACAGAACAGTTTACCAGCCGAGGCACAGCCGATACTTATTCTAAAACGTTATTCATATCATAATAATATTCTTACTGTGACATTTACTCCTTGATGACAATGACAAGTAACAAAATGTCACTTATTTATCCTTCGTCACTAGAAATGAAAGTTAACGTTATGAGAATTTCTCTCACTTGCAGGGTATTCTATTCCATTCTTTTCGTGAAGGGTTGTAGAAATAAATAGTCTGGACCAATATTAAGCTGATCTTAGTTCGACACTGCACTTCTGCGATAAACACCCTGTAACTCAGAAACGAAAATATATACATATATCTGTGTTTTCACGATTGGATTTTTTTTTCATATTAACTAGATGCGTTTTATTTGCTCCATTCTGATAACGGTGGTGGAAACAGAATGACGTTTACAAATAAAAGGAGAAACTTCATGACTTGGCATGAGAGAATTGACATATTATAGATGATAGAGGTTATATTTATATATTGGGGCTCCGAATTATTTCAATATCATAATAATAGATTTAAAAATCAAGAAGATGAAGATAATGAATCAATGCATATTTGGAGCAGTGATTGTGGTGCTTGGAGAAGGTTCTCTGAGATCGAGATGTTTCATTTTATCTGGGAATGAATATATGAAACCTGTCTTACTTGAAAGAATCATAAACTTGTGAATCTCATGATAAAAATGTCTTCTGTTTCAAAAAGTTTCGTTTTTCTTCAATCTAATTTCATTTTTTGACAAATGTCAACAGTCATTCCACGTCATTCCTTGCAGTGAGACGGATCGAATAGTATCAACCGGAATCGGTAAGGTTGCAAATAAAAGGACACATTGAGTGATTCCGGTGGCGGAATCAGATAAATAAAACGCAACTAATGGCTCTCAGGCACCGACATCAATTAGAAAAAGGCTTTTCCAGCTTACATACCTGCATTAGACAAGTTTGGTCAAAGTCTGATTTTGACGAAAAAATTTATTAATTAGCAAGGTGATCAACTGGTGAAATTTGAATATCATTCTCAGCGTCAATTAGTTTGATAACATGCATTTTCTGATATAAAATATTATATTAATTTATCATTGATAAAACATGACTAAATGTTTGAAAAACAGCAGAAATAAATGTGATATTCCTTCCCCACTGAAGCCACACTACCTTTTGATAGTCAGCAATTTCAGCAGAATTATGAGTCGAGATATTTGGAATGAATAGTATGTCTGCTAACAAGTATCTGTCACTTTCAGCGATATTGTTTTGATTTCGGAATGAAAAATTAGCAGATTCAGTACTGTCAATTGAATTCGGAATATAGCCTATGTAAAATAATTTCAGAACAGCTATTTTCTGTGTTATGTGAGTCCTTTCTTCGTAATTAGCAGTGGTTTAGACGTTATGATTTCTGTGGTTATGAAATAATTTTATTATTACATTGTTTATTCGATTATTTGGTATTGTGTTTGGTGTTTGATAATTGCTGTGCTAAATGGTTTGGGATGTTGTTATTCCAATAACCTGTCCGTTGGAATACATTTGTTTACAATTCCCTAGAAGTTCCAGAAGATAAGTACATCGTGAATAGTTACACTCAACTCTCATAATTACAAATCTGCTTCTGTATATAGAAGAATTTCAAGACAACTTGCTTATAAGGTCACTATTATTACTGTCCCAACTCTCAAAATCATTCAGAATGATATCTTGGAAGAATTCTTGTCAACACTTTAAAATGATTCATAATGCAAAACTGATTTCAGAATAGGTACCTATATTTTTCTCTTATAGTCTTTTAGATGCCAAATTCGCTAACAATAATTTCATAGGAAAATAGCGACATGGAGTAATGATTTTTTAAATTTAATCTTATTTGAATGAAAATTATAAATGTCACAGTATTCCTTTTGCTTCCTCCGTTTCAGAAGTACGAGGTAGTTAATGTTATAGATGACTAAATATACAGAGTGAGTCATAACTATTGGGAGCTCAAGGTCATTGGCGGCCATTTTCAGAGATCAAACGATTTTCAAACTTTGCGCCTACTTGTATAATGTATGTACGTTGCCTTTTCCTGCGAAGATTTACCCTGTATAAGTCAGAACTAAAAAATTAAATTACATATTATGGAAAATATTATTTTAGGCTCCTTAATAACAATAATAATAATCATAAGTCTTTACCGTAAATGTTCGGTTAAAATAATGACATTGGCTTTAGAGTTGAGAGTTTTCCTGATGATTTTACTAGCAATTGAATATGTGTTTTAGGTATTTTGGAATGCTGGTTGTCAAATGGTGTCTCTCAATTTCCAAACTTCCGATTTGCCAATGCAGTTGAATCAGGGGAAATTCGAGTACAATGGAAACTGCGGTTATCTGTTGAAACCGGATTTCATGAGGCGACATGACAGGACTTTCGATCCATTCGCAGAGTGTCCAGTGGATGGTGTTATTGCAGCTCAGTGTTCCGTTCAAGTGATAGCCGGACAATTCTTGTCTGATAAGAAGGTTGGTCCAAAGACAGTCACCACTGATATATTTATTTATTTATTCATTTTATTTCAGTTATTGCATTACATTCTTTTCTTCATTGATACATTTCATACAAATAATATATAAAGTATAATTAATTTTCTAGTAGGAATGACATGAATGATCAGACAGTAATTCCTGGTATAAGATCATTCATGAAGTATTATCGACTGTTGTATAATTGAAATTACAAATAGTGAACAAAACTTACATATCATTAAGATACAGTCATATTATAGTGAACGAGAAGGGGAAAAATAAAAACAGTGAAAAAAAAAAAAGAAAAAAGAAAATTCATGGTCTTTCAGCTTTGATCATTCCTTTGCATATAAATATATTTCTTAACTTTATTTTTGAATTGCATAATATTTGGGCTGTTTTTGATATCATCTGGTAATTTATTGAATTTCGAAATCGCCTCATGTGTAAACTTTTTTTGCCCAAGTTCGTTTAGAAGGTGAAGTAACGGAATGTGGTAATGGAATTCTGTCGCAAATTTTCAGAGATATCTACCAGAGTGACTACAAGAGCGGCGTTGATATTTTGTGAATTATACCTGTAACTTTTACTGAGTAAAATCGATTTGGCCGCTTCAAAACAACTGAGTACGGACTAGGGGTGGGCAAATGTATTGATAATTATCGATAATATCGATACAAATTCAGATGAAAAATTATCGATAATATCGATAATTATCGATGACTTTTGATAATTTTCGAAATATATTCGTTGATTGTTAATTGTAATCGCCCACTCCTAGGTTCCATTCCAACTAAGAAGACATCATTGGGAGTCATATTGCCTAATATTATGACTTGCGACGTGACGTAACGGTTGAAATTCTCTTCATGGGAAGATGTATATATGTAGAAGCAGGAATGTTAGACTCAATGTGGTTCTTGGTCATGGATAATCTGCTTGTTACATGAAATGTTTTTTTGTGTAGGCATAGGCTTCTCAAAGTCAAATCCCACTCCTCCACCTCTTGTAGATATGCGAAATAGAATATCAATGTCAAACACAAATAAATCAAACATACCAAAAACTAAATGACTAGAAATCAAGAAGTAGAAAAAATGTACTCCACTTACGTACAGAAATACTTCAAAATTCAAATCAAAATTGGAATTTGTCTGAGGACGTTAGTGACAACAGTCAGACTGCCTTTTCTATCTCTGGTTGAGTACAGTTATGAAAACATATATGTGAAAACTTGAACTTAAAACTGTCTACTTTGACAAATATTCTATTTAAATAATTTTTCAGTAAACCAGCGTCACTGACAGGCAGATATATTTTGGTGAAGAGAAAATGTGTACCTCGCCTAGTAGGTTTTCATTCAGTTATGTTTTTCCAGTAAAATTTAGTATCAATATCGATTCTGGCAACAGTCCAGAAGCAACCCAGAAGACGTGAATGTCACTAAATAGCTAAAAATATGAATTTCCCATGCAGAATTTTCTTCTTCCAAGTGCGCAGCTGATGTATTAGAAGTTCGTTCTTTTCATTTGATCACCTAAATCAGGGACCAATTAGTTTCATCGCGCGTCTGTTTATAACAAATGAATAAAACCAAGCGAAATCATGATCCTTCATCATTGAGGATTCATCTAATTGAAAAAATAAAGTAAGTTCCTAATATTGATGAGATAAATTACATATTTTACTTTGAACAATCTGTCTGAAGTCTGGTGTTGGGTTGGTGCAAGCTTTTGTCATCAAATCCTGGAGATAGTCATCGGTAACACCAGATTGAAATTTCATTTCAATGAAGTTCATCTAAACATTGCACGAAGTTTCAAAGCCAATTTTTTTAGTTTTGGGTATTTATTACCATACACAAATATTATCAAAATTTATGATATTCTCAGATTCTTCTGGGTCCGCAAAAAATAGGTCATTTGGTGACCCCTGACCCAAATAATCCGAGACTTACGAGTCCCAAACGAAGGATTCTAATGATTATTATTCAAGGTACCGACATATAGAGTTACATATCTGATTGTTGGATATTTCGCGTCCGTGTAGAAATCATGTAGTACACTTCCTACATTACACTGCACTTTTAGGAGAGTTTTAGAACAGACCTAAAATGTGATAATGAACATCAAAGGTGCCGACAATGAGTGAGAGTTCTGGAACTTCAAACATACTACTTATAGTTATTCGACAAATGTCAGATTTTCACCTTCCTCCAACAATCGTTGGGGTATTGGAAAGGGCCCTGTACTGGCAATCGCATCAAATAAAAGTTAATTCATTCGCGATATCGAATTGGATCCCATGCAACCTGCGCATATTTAGTGCTGTCATATATTACTAATACTCATATCTTCAAAGACAGAATTACAGTTTGGGCCCTACTGCTTCTTTATTTCTTTAATAGAGAAAAAGTCTTTCCCCTCTGTCTTTATCTATAGGGTTCCAATGTAAAATGACGGAAATTATTATTAACATAACATTTTATTATTTCACGTTAGAATCCTGAAGACAAGGATAGAAAGGAAAGTATTTCTTTGAATTCAGGTTGGGACATATGTTGAAGTTGACATGTATGGTCTACCCACCGATACTATTAGGAGGGAATTCCGTACAAGAATGGTACCTGCCAATGGTCTCAATCCGGTCTACAATGAAGAACCATTTCTCTTCAGAAAAGTGGTACTGCCAGACTTGGCTGTTTTGAGATTCGGAGTGTATGACGAGAACGGCAGACTTCTAGGCCAAAGGATTTTACCGTTAGACGGCCTACAGGTAAAATGAAAATATAACACAAATCATCTGAACTGCTCGATTGAATCGATCAACCTGAACTCTTGAGTGAATTCCAGATTACAATAGCTAAGTTGAGTGAGAAAAAAACTGAGTTTGCTTCTCTTTGGAATAAATTGGGCCAGTCTTTTCAAGATACGATAACTTTTTCGGAAATTAACTGATTTTCGATCGGAATGCAGTATTCAAGAGATGTGCCCTTTCTCTTCAAGAGTCATTGTTCAAAACCTATAAAAGTATTGCCTTTATGACATTCAAAAATAGTGTTACAAATTCGCAGAAGTATCCCACAGGAATTTGTTATCATTCGAATTATCTTTCTCAAATGTTCAAGTCAATATCTCGAATTGATTATGGAATTTTCGATCTTCCTTACACAGAATTTAAAATATCGAATGTTTTTGAAAGCTCTGTTTTTCCGCAATTCTACGGATTTAAAAAATTCAGGCGATAATCAAACCGTAATACACTATAATATGATCAGTCATTCATGGAGAAGATATCCTCTTGGCTATAAGAGCAGCAGCAGTTTTGACAACAAAATTAGCGTTTTCTGAAAAATTTCTGAAATTTTGTGAAATCATAAAATCGATTGCCCCAGTCAACATCTCGGAACAATTTTCTTATCTTTTATTTGATCTAATTGCAGGAGCCTCAGGCGAGCACTTTTCAGTATTCAGTTCTATACATGAAATATTGACGAAACGGTGATTTCCAGATATTCCTGAGTTGGCATGGAATTAAGTAAGCACTAAAGGGCACGTTTCCTTCCTCATTTGGAAAAAATGCCCGTGTAAAGACAATTCAACGCAAGTGATAACATATATCAATAAAACATCAAGTCATGAATGATTCTACCAGCTCGTGAAAACAACTGTCATTATTCTTCAACAATGAGTTTGATCATTGCTGGGTAAGCACAGTGACATATGGGGCAAATCATCTGATTTGTCCTTACTAAAAGTGAATTGAAATAAAACCCGTTCGTCTATAGAACGGCGAAGCTTTGGAATTCTTTGCCAATAAAAGTATTCCCAAGAACTCATAACCTCCAAAAGGTACAGGTTCGATGTTTTTCGAACATTATAGGAATATATTTTAGTGCACTTCAAGAGATAAACAAAAGAAAAAAAAAAACGTGCAATCATACGCGAAGTTGAACTTTGCAGCAGTTACCAATAGCAACGGCTGCCAAACCAAACCTCACTTCTGTATTTGATAACTCTAAACTATGACAATAGCAAGGTTATGCTGTGTCAGATCATATTTTCGTTTTGTCAAGAACTGTCAAAATATTTTGTATAAATTCAAACATGTGATTTCCATACCAACGCTGTGAATTTGTAAAATAAATTTAAGCGCTGTTGATTTGAAAGCAATAATATATTCATTTGTAATTATCTAGTTCAATAATTTTGAAGATTCCACGAAAAATAGTGAGTATACCATAGCCGCGAAACTTTTTGGCGACCTCAAGATTAACTTGCTGGGCCGGAAACGGCCTTGGCGATAACTTTTTTTGCGGCCTAGGCATACAAATAACTCCATTTTAGAGACAAGGAGAGAAAATCTCAAAAATATCTAGAGGAAAAGAAAACATATTTTGAAAATTTCAACATAACGAATGTTCTCAGTGATATATTATTAATCAACAATCAACATTTCAATGCACTTTCTCCACAAATCTATTGTAGTGGAAATTCACACTCAACATTTCAGGATAAGCAATTTAGTTGAACAGCAGTGTATTTTCGAAATGCGTATTTCAGGCTGGTTATCGTCATATTTCGTTGAGGACCGAGGCCAATTTTCCGATGTCTCTTCCCATGCTGTTCTGTAATATCGAGCTGAAGATCTACGTACCGGACGGATTCGAGGATTTCATGGCAGCTCTAAGCGATCCAAGAGGTTTCATGGGAGCCCAACAGAAACAAAATGAGCAAATGTCCTCAATGGGGATTGAAGTAAGACACATGAATTATGATCGTGTCGTGTATATTTCATTATTATTGATATTCCTCCAGGTTACCAGTGACAAACAGGTGGAAAAGAAAGAGAAAAAAGAAGAAAACAAGATAGGTTTGTTATCTGATTCATATTAGATGATAGATAGATCAGTTTGATTCATTTTTAGTTTTCGAACCTGTAACAATTGAATCTGTGAAACAGGATAAAGCTTTTCAAAAGACCACCAAGAAACACCAAAAAGAATATGACGTTCTCAAGAAGAAACAAACCAAAGAAAAATTAGCTGTTCAGAAGTCACAATGTACATCAATCGATAAGTTGATAAAAGGAAAAAAGTATGTGAATTAATATATAATACAATTTTGAATGTAGGAAATTGGAAAAAACATCAATGGTTTAGTTTCTACATCGTTACTAATGAATAACTATCATTTTGCATACCAGCTGACTGACAAAAAACGCCTCAAGCCTTAGCGCCGCTATTAACTATCCGATTTTAAAAAACATAGAAGCAAATGAAATGATTTATCAGATACTACAAGGTGACACTGACAATTAATTTTTCCAATTTCAACTCTAATTACAGCGATTGTCAACTTTGTTTTCAAATGGCATTGTATATTTTTAAATTTTTTCTATGATAGAGATTTTTTCTCTGGATACAATGTTTTATAAAAAGTTGACTTTCGCGCAAAATTTATTTGAAAAAAGAATACTTCGTCGTCAAAACATTTCGAAAAATCTTAGGATCCCCAGTAATTTCATTTCATTGACATTCTCTCATCCTCTACTGTGAAATTCCATATTGTTATGCCTCTTTTTTTATTGTATGAATATAAAAACTCACCTATCAATTTTAATTGTCCTTATTAACGAGAACGTCCCCAAATTTTCATTGGACCAAATAGATGTCATTTAGAAAATATAAATAATAATGGTAGCTTTTCAAAAAATCGATTATGGCTCTCGCACCTCACCTGATATTTTTGAATGCGATAAAAGTTTTAGAAACCATCTTCTCACACACCCCCACAAACAGTACAATAAGGACGATGTTTGTATGTCTTTGTTTCCAATGAGAAGGCAATTTTACACCTAATTGCCTGATTGCTTTTAAATCGAGATCTACATTGGTCGATCTCATGAGTTCATCAACTTACTTCGTAAAATATACAAATCAAGAAATGAAATTGGAATATTTCAGAACAAAAAAATATGGTATGAAACTCATGTTGAACAAATTGTTGCATTTGCTTTGTAAGGTTGCTCCACTTGCTGACACTCCGAATTCCCAACCAACAAAATAAATTGTCACTTCCAACATTCATCAAAAATGCGTATTGAAATACTTCTGCAATGTGTTCTCTTTGGAATAGTAAAATTATATAACTGAATGTTATTAGTATTGAAATTTTATCAGTTCCCAAAGGAGTATCAACCTACTCAATACCCTGTACATTTTTCAGCAAAAATGATCTTGTGAATGATCCGGCAGTTCGTAAACTAGTTACTGAACAAACTCTCGAATGGAGCGCTCTGATGGAACGTCACAGGAAACAAGAGTGGGAGTTTTTGAGAACTCAACTGGATGACCAGAGAGATGTTCTACGTAAACATATGGAAATTCTGCAAGCGATGCAGTTGAAGCAGCTCGAAGCTAAACATGATAGGGAGATGAAAGAAATGAGCAGTTTGCAAGCCAAGATATCCGTGGAAACTGCCAAAGAAGTAAGAGCTTTTTTCGATTTACGATAAATTTCTCATCGTGACAAAAAAAAATGCCAAAGAGTAATTTTACAAGGAAAACTCACATGAAATAATTGCGAGACCACAGGTCCAACAATTTTGCATATTATTAATGAAGTCAATACAGTTCATAGTTATGGGACTAGACAATGGACTTACTTGATAGCAAATACATTCGAGTTGAACATTGGCAAACAATCTGTATTTCACAATGGAATCATTTTATACAATTCATTATCAAATGAGTTGAAAAATTTAAATGATGCAAGAAGATTCAAAATCAGTCTTAAAAATATGTGGCATGATTTGATTACTCAGGATTGAAATGTAATGTAACTTCTATCTTAAGAAAAAGTATGAATATGTTTCCACTTAGTGGAATTCATTAGTTAACCTTTTATTATAATTGTTTTTGATATGTGTTCATGTATCCCTGTTATAAACAGACATGTTTCTAGGCATAATAATATAGACAATCAATCAATCAATATGGTCAACTGCATCAAAGGACGTCCAAATTGATTTATGTCGAAGTTTTTTACTGATAAAATTTACAATGCGTTTTTTAAAATCCTTTCAACAGTTCTGGAAAAAAATGCAATAGATCATTTTACACAGAATGTGGCCCAAGTTAGAACTAATTCGGGATATCAAATTAAATATTCATCTATTGGCAGCACTAACAAAATGTCATGCACAAGATTTGAAAATGAATTGTCATTCTTACAGTTCAAGTCAAATTCAGAAATTTAAATTAATTTTTGGTTTTGATTGAGTATGAGTACTTTAATCCAGATGGAAATCATCAATTGAATATAAAGGTTGCTGCTGGAAGAAATGTAGGTGTGAGTATGCATAATTTTTCCAGTGCTTTTCTTTCTGGAATAAGAGGGAATTTTTGATACGGCGAAATGAATGCTATACGGGAGGATATAGGATGTTTAAGTTGAATAAAGTTGAGGAGGCTCTCATATTCTATAGAATATTAATTGATATAATTTATCAAAAGGTGAAGTAGAGGCTTGTATAAAAGAATCAAACATAGTGTGTCAGTGTATTTTGACCATATCATATGGGAAATGAACAATTTAAGTTCTCAATAATGTTTAGGTATATTATCATCTAAAATGAACTGAAATAAAGATTTTGTATAGAGATTGTTCTACTACTCCACTGTATCTATGTCTATGCGTTTTTCGAAATTGTTGAATCCCAGAGCTCATTTCAAATAAACCGTCGGCCGCCATTTGGCCATGTTCTGCGATACAGCTTTTGTGCTGTCTCGTTATTGGTCAGATAATCATCCATTCCCTCTCATGACGCAAGGTTGTCAAGTCACCAAGTCACCAATTGAAATCAAGTTATCAAAAATATGTCGGAGTCCTGTCGTTGAATAAAATATAATAGGAGGAAGCCGTGATATTATAGTTCATTTCTGACTTTTTCGAGCAACCTAACCATAACGAAATATCATGTGAATAATGGAGACTTGGCAACAGGTGCTGAATATTGAGAACTGACAAGACAACGCCTACAATTCGTGCGCCGTGTTGACCCGTTTACCGTTTCGGATGTCCTCAATAGAGTGAATTAATATAATGATGTCTTCATGGTTATACACCACGTTATGAAGATGCGAAAATAGCGTATAATATTGCAAAAGAAATGTACCAGGAACCAGAGAAAATTCATGAAGATATAAGGGAAAAAATTGAAGAAAAACAGAAGAAATATAAGGATAGGTATGATTGTGAAAGATTTGAAGAATCTTATGAAGTAGGAGATATTGTCGTGATGAAGAGAGCTCATGTGTCCACTGGACCTTTAGTGATCATTAAAATAATGGGAAATGAGAAGAAGGAAATAAGTCTTTTTGTACTAATGCTCATATTTCACAGCTAAAAAGATTCAGAAATGCTATTGAGGATGAGGAAATAAATGATGAGAGCAGTGATGAAGAGGATATTTTGGAAGGAACACAATTAACACAAATATTAGGAACTGAAATATTGTCTCAAGATCATTGTGAACCATACGAAACTGAAAACGAATATGAAGAAGATCCGGACTATGTTCCAGACATCATAGAGGAGAAAAGTCCTGGAGAAGAAGAAGCATGTCTGAGACCAACGAGAAATCGGAGAAGGCCCAAGAAATTTGAAGATTTCATTACTGAATGAAGTTTTAGTTTTTTTTTATCACTTTTCTTTGTTTCAATTCAACTCGTTTTTGGGGACAAAAACCATAGTCAGGATGGACGAATGGTAACGGTAAAGTGTGCGAGGGTAGGATGTCAGGTTGACGGAAGAAAAAAAAGGGATTGTCAGTTAAAAAGAAAAACGACAGATTGTATTTTGCTAGAAACTTTATTGAAGTTTGTTTAGTTCACACTATTGTGTATAATCTGTATCTTCGCTATTCCTGGCACTGTCTATAAAGGTTAGTTATATATTATTTGTATGAAATGTATCAATGAAGAAGAGAATGTAATGCAATAACTGAAATAAATAAATAAATTATTCACACAAATTCATTATGAGCAATAAGCCACACATGAGGGAAAATTATGGGACAATGGATATTTCATTGCAAATTATGAATATTACGAATACGTAGGTAATTTATGAATTATTGAATAACTAATATTTCTGAAGTTCAAAATCGATTTTACCACCTCAAAATCAACAGAAAAATTCCAAAAAAATATGGAACTGAAAAATATTTGAGTGAAGGTTCGATGGAATCGTTAATGTTACCAATACTTAAAAACCAAATAATAATATCCAATATGTCAAAATCAGCGCTTAGCGTAAAATGGTCTTCTGGTTTATGATTTTCTGAATCTTGGGTATATCCACTTGTGTATATAGCTCTTAATGAAGCATGTTTTAATTCATGTGAAAATATTGGTGAATCAGCATTGATCAATTTTATACAATGAGTACTAAAGGTCCGTCCCCCATCGTAACTTCTTTATTTTGCATATCTCAAAAAAAATTAAATTACTAAGTTGTAGGATTTCATTCCATATCTTTGATGGTTTCAGTTCTATTCATCGAAATCGTTTCAAAATAGCGCAGCGACTTATATGACACCCTGTATATCATTGCATTATGAGATTGTAAATCATTTAATCGACTATTTTTGCCCCAGTTCAGCATGAAAACCGTAATAAATGGAACATAATGAATTTCACTTTTCTGTCCTAACCTTTTGAAAGCTTTCAATATTTGTTGTTATACAGGGTGTCTGTGAAAGGTCTTCACAAAAACAAACCACATATTCCTTAAAACAAAATAAGTCGATTTAAGTAAAATTACCTCAGTACAAAGTTGCATCGTTTGGGCTCCAGAGGGCCTTGAAGTTGAAATTTTTAAATTTTTTTCCCATATAAATTTAAAACGGCATATGCGATTTTGCTGAAATTTGGTATATTGATAGAGTTTAATGTGGCAAAAATAATTGTGTTAAAATTTTGTCCGATAATAATACATAGGCGTAGAACTTGATTTTTTAAATAATTGCACCTTTAAAAATTCTACGCCAATGGAAGAAAAGGAGTTTGAGTATGAAATTCAGATTGCGCAACTCATTTACTTTAAAAAAGGTACTCTTGATAAGACTCGATTGCTCTCATGGTTTTGACGTAATTTGCATTTTAGTAATTTTAGAACATAAAGAATAATTATTGGAATACAAATTTTGTCAAAACCATGAGAGTAAATCGAGTGTTATCAAGGGTACTTCTTCGTAGTAAATGAGTACCCAATCCAAATTTCATACTCAAACCCCTTTTCTACCATTGGCGTAGAATTTTTAAAGGTGCAATTATTTTAAAACTCAAGTTCTACGCCTATGTATTATTATCGGACAAAATTTTATACGATGAAAAATATAAAAATGTACTTTTTTCATATCTTCTTCAACACCTCTAATCGAGACTTTTAACAAAAATACTCGATTCTTGCCATGTACGATTTTTGTGAAACCTATACACTCTAAATTATTAAAACAGAAATTTAGCGAAAACCATGAGAGTAATCGAGTCTTATCAAGAGTACCTTTTTTAAAGTAAATGAGTTGCGCAATCTGAATCTCATACTCAAACTCCTTTCATTCCATTGGCGTAGAATTGTTAAAGGTGCAATTATTAAAAAAATCAAGTTCTACGCCTATGGATTAATATCGGACAAGAATTTAACACAATTTTTTTGCCACATAAAATTCTATCAATATACCAAATTTCAGCAAAATCGCATATGCCCTTTTAAATTTATATGGGAAAAACGATTTGAAAATTGTAACTTCAAGGCCCTCTGGAGCCCAAACGATGCAATTTTGTACTAAGGTAATTTTACTTAAATATTTTGGTCTAAGGAATATGTGGTATGTTTTTGTAAAGACCTTTTAAAGACACCCTGTATGTAAAATGAAGAAGTAACAGGGAGGGGCGACGAACTTTATATATTTAATATATGATTTTTATGTAGGTAAATAGTGATAAGACTCTTAAAACGAAGAAGGACAAAGAACGGAGACTGAAGGAAAAACAACAGAACAATGTAAAACGTTTCTTGGAAGAACATAAAGCAACTCAAATGAAGCAAGGTAGAGAGAGGGAAAAGCTGAAGATAACCCACGAAAAACAACTCGAGATGTTGTCTCATGATATACAAAAAATGATTGAAATGTACAAAAACGAGGAGCTGGAGTATGACATGTCTAGTAAATGTGAGTTCTTTGCCTAATATTCTACTTGCCATTATAATCAGTTAGATGAAAATTCGTTAAATATTTATTGTTCCCGTCAATATGAGACTATATATATATATATATATTATGTATTTATGAAGATTATTTAATAAATCATAGTTTTTGTTGAAATCTGTTTCTCAATATTGTTGTTAACTTGGCAGAGTACTATAGATACGATAGATATTCTAGCTAGTTATTTCCAATATTTCGGTTCCGAGAAACAGCCATTGAAAGTTTTGTTTCACTCTGTATTTGAATTTTGACTCGGACATGGGAGACACGTTAAACCAGTGCTGAAATCTTTGAAAAAGTTGAAAATTATGATATGGTGAAACCCATTGGAAAAGAAAGAGAATATAACAAAGATGAAAGGTAAAATAAATTACGGGTGATCTGAGGTCGGAAAGTAGTTGAGGGTGAGTTTTCAAGGGTTAATTTGAATGGCAGGAAATGAAAATATGTCTAACATTTATGTCTACACTTTTTTCATATAACCTCAAAATTTATGTGAAAATTTCAAATAATCAAGTTTTTGATTTTTTTTTTTATTTTTCACAAAACATATTTTTTCTTCACGAAATTTGATGACAACCTACTTCTTTATGTCCCAAATACACTATAGTTTTTTGATTTGGAATATCCATTTTTTCACCTCATTTTGACTTCATTTCAAAAAAGCACCCCAATTTTAAATCGAAAATGTGTGCGACAAAATATCAGATTATTTCAATAAAGTCGATGGGCTCTTTGTTTGTTAAAATCTCTACTTTCTAATAGGGTGTATATATTTTCATTATATTATTATTCAGAACTAATATTTTTACATTATTTTTTCAATCCTAATGTTTCATGGATTTGAAATTTCTTTGTTTATTGTTTAAAAAGCTGATATTTTGACGCGAGAATATACGATTTAAAATTAGGGTTCTTTTTGAATATTAAGTCAAAATAAGGTGAAAAAACAAAAGATATTCTGAATAAAAAAAAATCATTGTGTTTGGGTCATAAAAAGGTAAGTTTTTTTTACAAAATTTCGTGATTTTGTTGAAGATTGAAATAAAAAACCAAAAAGCACATACATTTTGTAGTTATTTGAATTTTCCACATAAAATTCGAGGTTATTTATTTATTTATTTATTTCATTATTTGCTATAAACATTACATTGCATCTCATATAAATATAAATATAATCATTAACATTTACAATGGAATAACATGAATAATCAGACAGATTCATATCTGGTATGAGATTATTCATGTGTTATCAAATTAAATTATAGTTATTGAAATAAACAACAGAATCAAAAAAAAAAAAAATAATAATAAAACAAAAAGCTCATGAAAAGTACATTATGACATGATGAAATAAATTAGTCAATGAGAAATCATTCAGTCAGGTTTGATTTTCTCTTTGCAAGAGGATATGTTTCTTTACTTTGATTTTGAATTGGGTGATATTTGTGCAACTTTTGATATCATCAGGTAATTTATTGAATTTTGAGATAGCTCCGTGAGTGAACTTTTTTCGACCAAGTGTAGAATGAGCAGCATCAAGATGAAACAAGTCATATTGTCTAGTATGATGTTCATGGATTTGAGAATTCCTTACCAATATGAAGTTAGATTTGAGGTGTTTGTTGATAATATCAAGAGAAATTTTGAGAGTATTTATCAGATAGTGAAAAAAGTCTATTCACAAGAGTTATAGATCATTTTATTACCTACAACTTGGCAATTCAACTTTTCTCCAAGGAACTTTTTTGCCGGAAATCGAGATAACCGTTTTTTTTTTCATTTATTTTTGTTATATTCTCTTTCTTTTTCAATGGGTTTCATTCTACTATAATTTTTTTCGGTTTCAAAAATTATCAATTCGGGTCATCTTCCTATTTTGAGTTCAGGATTCTGTAATTGAAATATTTCCAAATATTACTGATATACAAGGGGTTCCCAAAATGGAAGAATAAATGGATAAGTGGGTAATGAAAGAAAAAACAATATCAAGAAGTATATTTTTGTCTGACAATTTAATTCATGTATAAAAACCCATACGCCGCTGTGATTCTGTTATTATGACAGCAAAAAAGGTTTGCCTTAACTTTTCCAGCGTCAAAACGGAACCCAAATTTTGAAAGCATGACAATCAAGATTCTAAAAAAAAAACATTTGATGCCATTCATGTCAATTTTTCTAAAACTTGCCTCAACCATCAACAATAACGTGATTTACATATTCATTAAATTGTCTTATACCGTTTTCCACTGGACTGAAATTATGCACTCACTGTATATAGCGTGTCTCATTTTAAACTTTCCCCCTCCATATCTCAGCTATCAGTCCTGCAATCTTTGCCAAGCTTGGACCGGTATGAATAACCTATCTGTTTCCAATGTATATTTTGTAAATGTTTCTGAATAAACTTATATTATTATTATTATTATTATCGAACGTAATAATTATTTGCTCGGAAACGGTGAGTTCAACATAAAATAATATTATTCATTATTCCAAATTTTTTGGGATTTTCTCTCCTCGTTTCTATAAAATAAAAATATGAATATTATTCCACAGGGGACAGTATTGGGACCAGTTTTCTTTTTACTTTATATTAACAGCCTTTATAACTTGCAAGATATAAAAGGAAAACTTATCTCTCATGCTGATGATACCGCTATTGTATTCATAGGGGATAATTGGGAAGAAACATATAAAAAAGCGGAACAAGGACTCAAAAAAATATACAGCTGGCTTAGTGAAAGTATGCTGCTTGAATATTGATAAATAGTTATTTATTATACAAGGGAAAAAAGTAGTAGATTTTAGCTCCAGGTTGTGTTGTCTCCCGACGCGTAGCGGAGGGAGACAAAAAACCGTGAGCTAAAATCTAATATTTTTCCCGTGTATAATACACTATTTTTTTCTGTGACAGAAGGAAGGACGAATCAATATTGAGAAGATATCACATTATTTCGAAATCTGAAAATTATGGACATAAAATTTCAAGTTTTTAACAGTAGGGACACCTGCGTTTTATATAGGCATCTTTATCATTCTTTTGAAGTAATCAAATATCTGATGTCACTTCTGTCAGTTCAATTCTGTGATTTGATTTCAAAAAATTGCGAATTCAGTAGTTGTTCAGTAATATACGAAACCGCGAAGTCGAATGGAAGATGAAAGGACTTGCAGTTCTTTCTTGGAGACGGTATTATTGACTCATTTTTCGGAACTATAGCACAACAAAAGCCATTAACAGAGTATATATATGTAATATATATCCGGGAAAGAAGTACTCACTTTTTTCCCACGGGAAAAAAGTAATTTATGAAAAGTGACATTTTATAACCTGCCAACAGAGATGAAATGCCAAACTTTTTTTCCGTCACAGAAAAAACGAAATTTATTACTTTTTCACCCACAATAAGAGATCAACCCTTGAATGAAAATATTCGACTCCATGGATCCGGCTGTACAAATGACTTCGACTGCGCATGTTCTATGATAAAAAACATCCATAATATAAAGTACTTGGGAGTAATAATTGACCAACATATTCGTTGGAATGAACACATCAATCATACTACAACGAGACTACGTAAATTGACTTACAAATTTTACCAGTTGAAAAATATTCCGAATGAAAAAAATAAAATAATGGTGTACGATGCCTTGGCTGAGTCCATTATTCACTATTGCATTATTGTTTGGGGTGGGACTTTTCGAACTTCCCTTCACTGCTTAGAAGTTACACAGAATACTCTACTGAAAATACTGTTCAATAAAAACAGAAGATTTGGAACTGAGCAACTTTATAATGAAATAGAAATAATAAATCTAAAGCAGCTGTAATGCCACCAATGCCTCATCTGGACAAAAAACTCTATATTCTCTCCTACATTACATTATCATCATACTCGAAGAACAGCAAGGCAAGAAATTCCAATTCCCTTGTTTAAAATCACAATCACACAAAAATTTGTAACCTATTATGGTCCCAAACTTTTCAATCTACTACCCTCTGATATTAGAAATATACAAAATAAAAATAAATTCAAAAAGCAAGCCAAAATCTCTGTTCAAATGTATTATAAGGATATCCTGAAATCAGTTCTCGAATAATTATTAATTATTCTTACAATATATTGCAATTACCAGTGATATTCTCTTTTAGTTTCTTCCTTTCCTTATAACACTCATAGGAATGATTGATTGTAATTCATTTTAATCTGCTAGTAGATATTTCTTTTTTTTTGTTAGTAATTTAACATAAAAATGTATGATGAGAGAATGGCCCACAATACAAGCTTAGCTTAGGTGGCTTCTCTCATCAAAAATTATTGTTAAAATCTAATTGAATAAACTTACTTACTTACTATTTCAATATACGTGTAGTAAGGACAAATCAGATGATTTGCCCCAAAATGTCACTGCGTTCAAAGAATTTTCCTATCAGAGAGCCTAAAAGAAAAATTCACTAGCTTGTCATTGGCAATTTGTGTTGAAAAAAGTTTGGAGAAGAGAAATAAAGGTATATAGAAAAGATATCAAATTTTCACTTATCTTCGGACGTTTCGGGACCGATTTTGCTCCCGTTTTAATGAATGTACCACCTCCTCGATTAACCTACAGACAGTATTTATAAAATATTATATCTTGTTTTTTCTTTCAAATTATGATTTTCTACCTACCGCAGCCATTGAAGGTTCCAAAATTTGCAGTTAATTTGAATTCACTATTTTTTCGAGGCTGAAAATTAAAAAAAAAAACAAATGCTGTTAATCCGGAATGAGGTGATTTTTTGCATATGGAGGTTCTGAAGCATGAAGAACATTGATATGAAGTTAGTTTTCTTGCAAACATTGCCTAATATGATTTCATTAAAATCAACCTCTTTTTTATTGCAATAAAAATGCACGACAATGTCCAAAAGGATTTTCGTCTCTCAAACGCTGATCATATTGATGGTTATTCATATCGGTCATAATCGCACGACTAAGCTGAGATATAGAGGGGGGGGGGTCGTCTAAGGTGAAACACGCTACGCTGTATATATCCACATGAATAAAGACAGAACATTCAGTGCGGAAAAAATCGGGCCAATGCGACGAGTGGAAAACGGTATTACAGAACTACACTCGAGCATTTTTTTGTGTCAGGTAAATTTGACATTTATATTTCCAGTTTTCTTGTGTTATGAAAATTTAACTCGAAAAACTGCCAGAAAGAATTGAAAAGACCAGAAAAAATATCTCCATGCAACAAAATTCTCATTGAAATGTCAAGACTACTTCGACAAAAAAATCTCGTGAGTGAACAAACAAATGGCGTAGTCAGAAGCGTTGAAAGTATTGAAGACTTCTGCAATATTGTTCTACGTTGAATAATATCCAAAAAGTGTGTGTTGCTGAGACTGTCCATTAAAAAAAAAACAACAGAGGAATCCTTTTCTTGCAATTTTTTTTCACTATGTCCTTATTTGAAATGATTCAATTGTTAGTAGATCGAATATTGACTACACATTAATGATAGTTATTTATACACGAAGGTAGTAAATAATATCATTATCACCCAGGAATCAAGATTATATCCCGAGGCTTGAGCAGAGGGGTATAATAAGGTCCCGTGGTAATAATACCCTTCAATACCAAGGTGTATATTACTTTTTTTTCACCACTAGCAATATATTTCAATTATTATAGTTCTGTGAAACTGAAATGTGGACCTATGTCACCATGAAAGCACTTCTTTTCAATTCTAATTAAAATCTAGCCACCATGTCAGAATATGACAGGTCGATATTGATAGATACATACTAGATTCGAGAATACTACCAAGGTGTATATTACTTTTTTTTCACCACTAGCAATATATTTCAATTATTATAGTTCTGTGAAACTGAAATGTGGAGCTATGTCACCATGAAAGCACTTGTTCTCAATTCTAATGAAAATCTAGCCACCATGTCAGAATATGACAGGTCGTTATTGATAGATACATACTAGATTCGAGAATACTACCAAGGTGTATATTACTTTTTTTTCACCACTAGCAATATATTTCAATTATTATAGTTCTGTGAAACTGAAATGTGGAGCTATGTCACCATGAAAGCACTTCTTTTCAATTCTAATGAAAATCTAGCCACCATGTCAGAATATGACAGGTCGTTATTGATAGATATATACTAAATTCGAGTGCAATTCCTGTGTATATCGCATCAAAACAGTTAATTCGGGTTAATTATAACAGATGAGGCTATGTCTTTATTGACTAGTGGTTCATAAAATGACGAACATTACCTTGGTAGTAAAAACACACTTAACGCCTTCAAAAGAAGTAAATAATGGTAGGTTCTATAGCTAGTGGTGGAAAAATATGATTATGAAAGTGCAGGTACTCTAGATTATGTCAATTGTTGTGCAATCCATGGCAGGATCACTTTCGACCCAACGAAGTAAAGAAGAAGACTTTTCAGAATGAGAAATATTGTATTCTGGAAGGCCGTAACCCTGAAAATAAAAATATGCATAATGATCAATCAGATATTATTCTTCAAAAGTTCATACATAGGTACAGTCACAGCAGAGAACATGTCGCGGCTGATAGCCCTGAACTGTTACTGAGTTTTTCACCTTCAACAACAATTAGGCCCTCCGCACACGGGTCGATCGGCGACATGGGCGACGCGATTCGAATCGTACGACTGTCTCCCCTCTACTCGACTTCCTAAGCAAAGCATTTGGATCCCGCACACGGGTCGTTTAGTGGTCGTCTAGAAACGTACGATTTAAGATCTCCTCGTTTTCAGTCGCATGCGATTAGCAAGGAAGCAGTTTGATCGAGTGAATCGTGCGTCTCAATGGAGAAAGTTGTTCAATAATTTTTCAATCATTGTGATTATTTGTGTTACCTACCTTGAGTTCTTTACTTCCACTAACCTGAACATATAATCTTATGTTTCCAATTTATACTCTCAAATTTAGGAACTGTTTGATTTTTTGAAATATAAGAATCTTATACCTCAATGTTATTAGTATGCGTTCTTCTGCGCTGACACATCCCCTCATATTTGTATACACATAATTTATGGCTGGAGCAAGAGTTTCCACTAGATCAATATATGATTCCTTCGAAATTCTATAAAATGCCAGAAATGTTGTGTCACTCCTTGCATTTCACGTGCAGCAAAAAAAAAGTCGAGTGTGAAAATTTCGTGCAATGTACGGATGCACCCATAAACTTCGTTGTCTTCTTCTTCTCCTGATCTGCCGGTGCCACAAAAACATGAATATGTCCTCCTCGCCATTGGAACTGCTCATTTTTAGCGAAACATTTCTTTTTGAAGTTGCAAAAAATAGAGTAACTAAGTTGATCAGACGCGAGTCGACTACACAAAACGTCGACCCATATGCGGATGACACACACTCCCGTCTCTTGAATCGTACGAATGCAGAAATTGTGACGTCATTGCAATCGCGTCGCCCATGTCGCCGATCGACCCGTGTGCGGAGGGCCTTACAGACCTCAAATGATATTAACATAACACTGTTGTAAATACGTCCTGATTCGAACAGGCCGTGCGAAACCGACTAATCGCATCTTTTACAGTACTTTTTACTGTGCCTAAGTATTCTGCAATATACCGTATATGACCATCATCATTCAAGGCAACAGCACGTGCAACATCCTCGGGTCTCATTTTCAACACACAAAAAAAAACAGTTTATTATGGAATGGCAGAATACTGACACTTTGTTGAACAATACTTTTAATGTTACTACGCAACCAAAGACCAGTGTGATGAACGAGTTCTCGTAGGTTGTGGAATATTGTTGATAAAAACTAGAAAATGCCATACTTTCTTGAAACCTTTGTATCTTCTCTTGAAAAGAAGATATTGACGTGAATCAGAGAATAGATGTATTGAGAAGGAATCACACTTGAATACTAAACATAATGAAACTGATTTTAATTGCTCACTTTTGCCACAGGGCGTTTAGAAGTTGAGGGTAAAAAAGTTACTTTTGTTCTTCCCTGTATAATGATCAGGACAATAGATGTTTTTCGGAACAAAATATCAGGCTGATTTTGTGAAACAAGAGGATTACGAAAGTTACAGGGCGAACAATTTTGCTAAAAATTTCACTGTCCGGAATTTATTGTCGGGGAGTGTATTTCGGAATCTTTATTAAATGGGCAACTTTTTCTCATAATTGGTTATCTTTGTGGGGTAGTTTTTGAATCTACAGGCGGCATTTGAAAATCAACTCAAATATTTCATTAAATCACAAAACTCAAAACACATGTAAAATCATTTCTGTGGAAAGGTGCATCCATGTGAATGAAATCCGTAAAAGAAAAAATCAGGAATGTGACATAGTTTTATTGCGATTAACTCTTTTTATAAAAATAAAAAAAAAAAAAATTAACCATCAACAACCGGATAACCACGAATATGGTTAGTTTGTTTGGAAATGACCACCCCTACCACCCTACTTCTTTTGATCCATGATTTATGGGACCCTATATGTGTAGCAAAACAACGTTTGAAGGGTCAGCTAGTAAATAAAAATGAACATTGTTCGTGTTTTTGAATAAATATTTTTCTTATTCTTCTAAATGGCTCCCCTGCGACATTTTCTTGGATAGATAACTTTTAAAGATGCCAAAAGAGAGTTGAAGGAGGGTTCGTCAATACAGGGTGTCCCCAAAAGGTCTGTACAAAATCTCAGCTCATATTCCTGAGGTCGAAATAAGCCAATTTGGATCAACTTACCTCAATTCGAAATTGCTCCGTTTCGATTCCGAGAAACAGGGTGGTGAAGATTGAAAATAATATTCGACAAGTACAGTGCTATTGCACTGACCAAAGTACATCCACGAAGATAGCAGCGAACATTTTTTATTCAAACATATTGAATATTCCGGTGCTGCATCGAAAACTAAAAATCGAAGTATCTCGAAATCGTCTTTAGCGGATTTTCACAAAAGTATTTGTGTTGCTTGAAACTGTTCAGAAAATTATTTCCTCAACAAATAAAGTAAGAAAGTACACTGAGAAAAAAGTTATCACCATTCTAAACCATAAGAAGTCCATTGGTATGCGCCCTCTGATGGCCACAGCGGAGAGGTGTCCGTATTCGTTTGCGCATCCCAGAAAAACCCTAGATATAAATTCGGTTTTATTCTATAGCTTCACTACCCTGTATATTCGAAACTGAGCAACTTTGTACAGACCTTTCAGGGATACCCTGTATAGCTATCCAATTGAAATTATCCTGGTATATTAGGAGATTTCAAGTATATTTGAAATTCTGTTGTATAGGTACAGAAATGAAAGTCGTTTCAAGTAAGGTATCAGTCGACCCCCATTCCAGTAAAAATAATCTCTCAAAATGGCGTCCAGATGCCATTTTGAGAGAAACATATCTTCTATTGGAATCTAAATATAGCATTTGAACTACCGTTGAAGCAAAAAGAGATGAAACAAAAAATCCCAAGCTGTTCAAAGGTTAACTAGGAGGGGAAAGTTACTTTATGGACACAGTGTATATTAACATTTTCCTTCTTTTTTTCAACCTGTAACGTGTTTGGAAGTTTGAGACAAGTAATCGATTTGATTTTTCAATGTATAAATATATACGCCTCAGGATTCATCCTGTCAAATATTCGGATGTATCTTACCTGTCATATCTTTTGATTTCAGCTTCAGTAGCCTGGGACTTAGAATTCAATAGAAACCGTTTCATGCCTCCCCATACAACAATAATCATTGCTTTGGTCCCCTCTGTGTCAGTTCTTGAACGATTTTGTATAAAAGAGAATGTTGGTTTATCACATTCCAGCAGATTATCCTCTAATCCGACGTAATTTTCCGTGTTTATTTTGAAGGTCTTGAGCATAAATGAACTGAGAGAAACATTGGCTATCAGTAACCTACGGTAAATCTTCAACAATCTGAAAAATAAAATCTAATTTAATCGAAGAGGTGGTATATTAATTTCTCTAGATATATGGAATTTCCACCCCTTGTCTCCATAAATAATCATTCGAGATCGGATTCTGAAATTTGATGGGTATAGCAAGTATACTAAATTGCTCATGTATTGACAAATACCCATTTGTTAATGCACTTCAGGGAATAACAGCACACTTTCAATCCCTCATTCGAGGGACTAAACTGTCACAATTTAATATAGACTTTTTACTTAATTTCCTCTGAAATATGACGTATATGAATATTTTGACGTACTTTTATGTTACACCCTATGCACATCTACTCACCTCGGTTTTTTCCCTAGTAATGAAGTAACTCCATCTATTACGAGAGCAGGCAGTACATGTATGATGAGAGTTAGTATGTAAAAGATAGTCTTATTCTGTAGTGAATAATAAAAGGCACTTCCTAAATAACTATCTGCTGGGTTATTCCTAATTATTGTTGGTACAAGAGCTCTGTTGAAACCCTGAGAAAAATTCATATCGGATGCTGCATTATAAACTTCTATGGAGGATATATCAGACCTGGAAAAAAGTGCAGTTTTACTTATGTTGACATACAGAGTGTTATAATTTCCTCAACAAGAGATATTTCAGTTAATTTAAAAGATAAAATGTTGAAACGATTCATTTTATCACGTATTTTTCAAAATGTAATAATCACTACAATCGTAAGCGCAAACATCGTATAACTTCGTGACTAGAACAGAATTTAGGTGAATGCCAGGAATAACTGCAGCCAAATAATAGATGCACGAAAAGAACCATAAAAAACTAGAATAAGATCGCTAACGCAAGAGGAAGGTATTCCACTAATGTTTCATTCCGAATTCCGACCACTCTCCAAATTCGACGTCTTGCAGGAATGTTTGCAGCAAACACCACCTCCAGGAAGAGAGCCGCCAGATGAGCATTTCTCCTGGTGATATGTGAATGCCCTAAACCTTTTTTGTCAACGCACTCATTCTGCTTCACCTTAAAACGAATAAGACTAACGGTTCTGACGGAATTCCACCCATTATTCTTAGAAAATGTGCACCAGGATTAACACCAATTCTCTGCAAGTTATTCACTATCTCGTTAAAGCAGGATGTATTTTATACTGGTAAAAATCCAATCGATTCTCGAAAAAGAAGAGAAAAATCTGCCCAGCAACTTTTGGCCTATTGCGCTGTTATCAGTTATTTCTGAAATGATGTAGAAATCCATCAACATTGAGTATATCAAAGATCAACTGGGCAAGCTTCATTGGAAAAACATGGGGAATCTCTAGCTGTGACGTTAGATAAGTATAGCGAAAGCGTTCGACCATGTTTGGCACCAAGAACTCCTTCACTTCGAGTATCGTCCGATAGCACAGCCATCAATTCCAACGTCCCACATGGATTGATTCATTTTGGCACCGACATTGTTCCTACTTCATATCAATGATCTGTTGGGAGTGTGACCACTTCTACTATCCACAGCTATGCAAACGACAGTTCTCTCCATACTGCGTTTTTCCTAAATAAAATCTCAATCAGGAGAACTGAGTACCTAATCGAATTCAACGCCACCAAAACTCAAGCCTGTGTTTCGCTAGAGAGCAGAACCTCTATAATATGCCTGATATAACAATTCACATAAAGTCCACCATATCTATGCTCAGTATTTCCAACTGTAATACTCATTCTTTTGGTAATCTCAGATTCTTATTATTGTCATTAGAGTATATTTATTTATTTTCATTTCGAGCGAAAAGCAATTTCACACTGCAAAAGCTTCTCATAGAGCATGCTCCGATATTCCCGAACAGTACTGCCCAGTATATTTTATCGTTCCGATTTTAATGAAATTTACTGGCTCAAAGTTTACTGTTGGCCACTGGTGCAGAAATGGTGATGTAGTTCCAGTATTCATGGAATGTTAGGTTAAGCGTTTGAATGGTTAGATTGGTTTGGTATGGTCGATAAAAATTATGTATTGTAATATCCCAATACTTTGTGAAAATGTGTCGATTCTAACTGAAAGATCTCACAGAGGCAGCAATAGACGCTGAAACTGCGCCACTAATCTACAAGATGGTTTGTTATTCCCACTTTTGATTGGTATCAGTGCAGATATTTCACAGCTATGCTTCATTTCTTCATCACTGGAACTAGAGGTAGGTACTAGAGCTTGGTGTTTCTGATGAATCAAAATCACTGTCACTCCATCAATAATTTCAACGTGAGTAGAGAAGATAATAATGAGAATGATGAAAACAAAAATCTACTTCTGTATCCTGAAAAGTGGCTACCATGCGTTATGGAAGAAACCATACGTGATACCATTAGCCAAAAATTCAAACAGGTCCATTTCATTTTCGAAGAGGACACTTTAAACGCTCATTTTTAGCCCCCATGGTTTAACCCCCTAGGAGGGGTAGATGTTACCCTAAGAACCTCATTTGAAAAGGGGTCAAGATGCACATTATTTTGAAGTGCGTTTAACTCTTTCTCAAAGTAGGTACCCTAGTTCATCATTTTTTAATGAGCAGTTTCCGAAAAATACCGATCTAAATTTACAGAAGTAATGAGAACATGCCTGTATTGTGATGCATGGTTTTCAGGTTAGTATTATTATTTGTATTGATTCTCCTTTTAGTTCAAATGGTTGGAAGATTTTGAACTAGAAGGAAGTCGATACAATAATACTAGTGTCACTGGATGGTATTAGTAGATAAGAGTTCGGACACAGCTGAACTTCTGTCCTTTTCTATTCTTCAAAGTACAATGCTTGAGTGAATGAAAGAATGACATATTTTCTGCTCTTTGTCTTTTCAATTCCCCTAGTAGCACCTGATTGTCACATACGATTTTAGAGGTTAGATTTTCTGTCAAATCAATCATAGTCATAGATGGAAAATAGAAAAAGGGTATATAAACACCCAGTGATGCTAATGCCCCTTTATTCTATATGTATTATGTATATACGTAATTGATTTACTGCAGAATCACTACCATTTCGTCGAATGCATTGACTTGACTGACAAGTATTTTTTATCGATCTGAGGATGTTTGATGTATAGTTTGTATAGAACCATAGATCTGAATACATTTAGATCTATGATAGAACCAATATGAAACTTGGACATGTTCATTCCTTCTATCTTACTTACTGGGTTGCTTTTTTCCAGGCAGCTATTATTAGAGCATTGACGGCATTGTCAACGAATACATGATCTCTTATAACTTTATCATCAGAGTATACAACTTTCAATATACCTGAAAATAGAGAGAAATTAACAAAGGATAATGGAGGAAACAGTGTTTCCCAACGAACTAAGATGTTTTGAATTGGCACAAGAAAAAAAGGTGCAGATAGAGGCCCATCCAGTTTTTCAATTAAAAAAAAATACTACTTCTTTTACATTTGGAAATAATGTTAAAATTATATGCCAATAGCTCCCCGATTGATCCCTAGCTGATACAATTCCAGACACGTTATTTCGAATGCCAGTATACATACAATTTTTAGTGACGATCATTGAATTTGAAAGGATTGGATTTCATGATTCAGGGATCTAGGATGAATGGAATTTCTTCTACTGTCAGAGCAGAGCGTTCTGTTCCGGCCTACTTGGTCTCATCAGCATCTCTCGGTCTTCTGACAATTGGGACAACACAACGCTTCGGGTATATCACCAATATCGAAGACGTGATCTGGTCATGATATCGCCATCTAGTGGCCAAAGATCGATGGAGAATTCAACAGAATAATCGCGTCCGAGAGTGGCTGTTGAAACCTGGTGTGGTGGAACAATACTGCCTGGCAATTGCTGATAATGGGAACTCTATACCCATGATCTCTTAGATGTGAGATCTAGTTCGTTGGATATGACTGGTGAATTTTCAGGTACCGCCTGTTAGCAGAATGGTCTACTTGTCGTATCTGTAGCCATGGGTCCCGCCAGTAAAAATTTCGAGAGGGGGGAGTCGTATTAATGTTTTCTACCAAAAGCATTTGCATTAAATTGAAATAGAAATCCTATCGATTAATTTTTACTAAAAGTGCGGTTTGAAATTATTACGAAAAGGATATATAAAAGTAGGTTAATAAATAAGGTCAGTCGACAAGTATAACAGATGTTCAAAAACCTATCAAGTTTTTCAATAAGAAATACCTACATGAATACAAAAATCGACAAGTCGATGTCCTTTGAGAATATCTTACGTTAGAGGTTAGGTTGGGTTAAGAGTGCGAGTAAGTCCACTCGGCCCTCCACTGCGACGTGTAAGGGTCTATAATGGCTGACACCAATTCAGACTTCAGCAAGTAGATCGGTTTTTCACTCGCGCAACTCTTCTCCCATTTCCGAGATGCCCATATACTTAGATGTAAATTGACGTATTTGTCATCTTAACAAAGTACGGACAGATACTCGTCTCCTCTCACTCTAACGTGTTTGTAAAACAGTTATATAGCAGTTTATTCATTTCTACGGATAAACACTAGATTTCTGACATTTGTTGTTTTTTAGGTTATATTAAAGATATTGGTGTATCATACGTAATTTCCACATGTAATTTCTCATTCAACTCTACATATATCCAAATGATGATAATTTTCGAGTTTTTTGATTTTTCAACTCCAGCATAATATTTTTGAGGCAGTGAGCAAATTTTTCTGAAAGTTTAATACGTTTTGAATTTGCCATTCAACTGATTGATATTGATACAGCCTAACGCAGCACATTTTACCATCCTTCCAAAACAGAACGGAATAATGTTGTATTGAGATAAAGTAGGAAATTAAAATTTTGTAAGATCTCTTTTAACGCCTATGAATGTGACGTGACAGCAATGTCATGTCAGGGACGCCAATACACGAAACCAAAGTCACTAGATGATTAGAAGAGAAAGGAGCTATATGATCTGTCCGTATCCTGTTAGATGACAAATACGTCAGATTTCATCAAGGGACCCTACCCATACTGGCCCTCAGTGGCGTATCTGGCTACTCACTCTGGGGGGGGTAATCCAATTTAGGAAAAGGTAGGTAGGTACAACAGAAAAAATAGAATTTTTCTGAACTTATATTATAAAAAAGTATAAAACAAACATCAACATGAAATAAAACAAAACAGATCACAATAAAAAAGGAACATCATGTAAATAATGACTAGGTATACACATACCTAAACCTAATGATGAGTATCATTGAGAATAAAAATAAACAAAACAGCCACTTAATATGGGGTATTGAAAAAAAAGTTAAAACAAACAGTTACAAAATAAAATTTTTGTTTCTATTTTTCTTATTGGCAAAAATATCTATGATATTTGCAACTTCAAGGTTAATGTCCCGGTGTACATGTAACAGAGCTAGGCCTACTAATCTCTCTTGCGACATAGTTGATCGCAACCAAGTCTTTAAACGCCTAAGAGAAGAGAAACTTCTCTCGGCAGTAGCCACACTTACTGGTAGGCACAATGCTATGTGTAAAATTTTTTTTATTGTCGGGAACATATTTCCGTCGCAAGATGTATAGACATTCAGAATAGTTTCATTATAATTGCGATCAGTTTCTGAGATTCCGTGAGTATTGTTTTCCGTATTTATAGACTCATTATATTTCGTAATCCATATATCAGTTTCAGCCATTAATTTAGCTTTCAAAATAGGAAGATCGTCATTGTCCATCCTGCTTAAATAGGTAGCCAAATTGTCTATTATATTATTCACTTCAACTTTTGGTTTATTCGAAATCACGGAAGGAATAAATAAACTGAAGTCAAAAAGAATAAATGTATTATCGGTAAAGCGAAATGTTAAATCCTCAATGATACTGTCCAACAATGGTAAATATACAGTTATTCGATAATAGTCCTCACAGTTAGTAACTTCAGGATTCGCGCGATTTTTTTGTCTACCAACAAGTCTAGGAATACTCATGTCTGCACCAAGTTCCTTCACTACCTTAAAAATTTCTTCAAACAATATTTTGAAATTGTTACTAGCATTTGCTCTCTTTTGTTTTAAAGTTTTAATTACGTTATCAGTTATTTCCTTAGCATAGTACCTATCAATAGATTTTTTCTGCAAAGTTTGGCTTAGGCTCAAAGTTACTGATAAAACATCAGACAAGCAAAACAAACTTACAATAAAATTATTTGATGTTAAAGAATTTTTCAGACATTCTGCCTTAGAGGACGATATAGACTCTTTCCACTGCGATATCGCTGACAATGAATCAAGTATTCCGATTAAATTAGTTTTAAACAGCAAAATAGCATCGTGTCGATCTACCCATCGCGTTTCACATAAAGATTTTAGATTTCTGCTAATTTTATTTTTCAATACAAAATTTCTTTTTGATGACATATTGAAAAAGGAGACAGTTTCAGTTATTATCCCAACTGAATTTCTAATATATTGTACGGAATTTGATTTTGAAATTGACAGATTAGGAGCATGGTTATTACAAGGGCACTTCAAGGCATTCGGTAAATACTCCTTAAGTTGCGTTACAGCGCCTTTTTTCTCACCTAACATTAAATTGCATGTATCTGTTCCAATCGCAACACAATGCTCTAAGCTAATATTATATTTTTTTAAAAAATTTAGAACGGTCGTAGCTAATATTTCTCCAGTTAATACAGGTTCCACCGTGGCGTTATCATAGTTACTTTTATGAGGATCAATAAAAGCAAGAAAACTCTCGACCGGCTCGTTGTTGTCTAAATATCGGACAACCATAGACATTTGGGACGAATGACTTACGTCGGTGGTTTCGTCAAATATAACCGCATAAAATCCACTGTAATTAATTTTTTTAATCAAAATATTTTCTTCACCGCAACACTGAATAATGTCATTTTGAGTAATACTACTAATGTAAGTACTTCTTGACGTTTTAGCCTCAAGATGCTCTTTTAAAATTTGATCTCCACTTGCTATTCGAAAACGTATCAACTCTCTAAAATTTCCTTGATTTACTACAGATGTTTCTGTTCCTAATTCTAACGGGCCACTATCGCGATGTCCTCTGAGTGGGATATTTTGTTTTCCAAGAAATATAATTGATTCTATTATTGGAATCAATCGTTGACGGTTTTCCATAACTTTTTTTTTGCGTTCAGAATCTAACACATTACGCACATCTTTTTCTGGATTTTCATAACTGTCAATGAAGTATTGTGCACTAAGTACAGCATCTTTATGGTATTGGGTTTGATTGTGAGTAACAAGATCGCCATCTTTGCCAAACAATTTTGAATATTTATCAACGACGTTTGTCACTAATTTATTTAGAGTTGTAGTTTTATTTCTTCCGCCATATTTGGCAAAAATTGCGCAATATTTGCATATAACTCCATTAAGTGAAGCTGAATAAGCTAACCAGTTGAAACTGTCAAAATGTTTTTTAGACAAGTAGCATTTAATTACTTTCTGTTTTTTTACGTGCGTTGAAAATGGATAAACAAAATTTTTATCGGGCACAAAGGCATATTTTAAAAGCTTATATTTCTGTTCATCTGATAGTGTTTGGTTCATGAAAATACCTAAATCTAAATCCGACCCTTGCAAATTCTCATCTAAAGAATTAGCACCATGACAACCTTGTGAGCTTTCAGTATCTGAATGTGCCTCAACGTGACCGCTACTGCTGCTGCAAATAGTGCTACTGGAATTGCTAGCAATTATCTCTAACTCTGAGGTCGGCGACTTATGTTCATTCATTGCGGGTGATATTTTCGATTTTGATATCAGGAACGAGTCCAAGGTATTTTTTCTCTTACTCATTATGAATTGTTGGTGCAGGATATGCTCATGCTCATACGGAACTAGAAATAACTGAAAAAGTAATATAATAAATAATATACCTATATTTGTTTATACTTTACATCACGAGTGTTTGCAGTGTGGGCTCTTATGAGTTGCTACAGCAACACATAGTAAACAAGCCATAAGATATCTGCAAAGTCCGGTGATATAACGTATATGTCACAAAAGTCAAAAGATCAGTACCCACACCTACCTAATAAAAACTAAAATATAAAATAGTTTAATTCAGCTTACCTATTTCTCATTCGCTGGTGCCGGTACACACAATATTATAAGGCTGACTTATTTAATCAATCAGAACATTAAGATTGAAAGAACAGAAGAAAAGTCATTACTCAGGCCTTCATTAACCAACGGACGGACGGCTACTACCGAAGCCGGAGTGCCGCTAGTGGCCACTGCACTGACTGACGGTGGCTACACACACGTTACACGT